CCTCCACACGCTCCACCAGTTCCCCTCAATTTTACTGCTTTATCCTTTCCTCATTGTAGTGAATCGAAAATTTTCGATGATTTCCCGAAGCTTTCACTGATGCTTTCACCGTTCAAACAAAATTTCTTGTCGTTTTCGTTTTTCGTCGGCATGACTGTGTAATATGACGACTAGGAACGCGTCTTTTTTTTTTCTTTTTTCGCTTTTACAATATCTTTTTCATTTTTTTCTCCTCAAAGATCGGCAAAAAAAAGAAAAGGAGTAGTAGTTTAAATCTTGCATGCATGGCATTTTAGTTTTAAATTATTGTTGTTGTTGTTGTTTTCTGGATGACACCAAAGTCTTTGACGCCTTTTAAACGCTTATTTTATTTGATTTTTTTGCAGACTCCAAGACCAAAGTACAGGACTGGAAGTAATTTTCGCCATATTTAAAGCGAATTACTAAATTTTAACTCAAAAAGTTGTTTCCTGGATGTCAATGGGGCATTTAATGCATTTTTTGGACCCTGCTACTTAATTTTGCTTGTTGACTGTAAGACCCCAGTACAGGACTGGAAGTAATTTTCACCATCTTTGAAGGAAATCACTAAATTTTAACTCAAAACATTGTTTCCTGGATGTCACTGAAGCATTTGATGCATTTTTCAAACAATGTTGTTTAATTTTGTTGTTGACTGTTAGACTAAAATACAGGACTGGGATTAATTTTCGCCATATTTAAAGCGAATTACTAAATTTAAACTCAAAACATTGTTTCCTGGATGTCACTGAAGCATTTGATGCATTTTTTTGGACTTTGTTGCTTAATTTTGTTTTTGACTGTTAGACTAAAATACAGGACTGGGAATAATTTTTGACCTATTTAAAGCCAATCACTAAATTTTAACTCAAAAAGTTGTTTCCTGGATATCACTGGAGCATTAAATGCATTTTTTTGGACCCTGCTACTTAATTTTGCTTGTTGACTCTAAGACCATAGTACAGGACTGGACGTAATTTTCGCCATATTTAAAGCCAATCACTAAATTTTAACTCAAAAAGTTGTTTCCTGGATATCACTGGAGCATTTAATGCATTTTTTGGACCCTGCTACTTAATTTTGCTTGTTGACTCTAAGACCATAGTACAGGACTGGACGTAATTTTCGCCATATTTAAAGCGAATTACTAAATTTTAACTCAAAAAGTTGTTTCCTGGATGTCACTGGAGCATTTGATGCATTTTTTAAAACTCTGTTGCTTAATTTTGTTGTTGACTGTAAGATCAAAGTACAGGACTGGGAATAATTTTCGCCATATTTAAAGCGGATCACCGAATTTGAATTGGATTCAAGCTTTCTGGACACCATCGAATTGTTTTTGCTTAATTTGGAGGAATTTGGCTAGAAATCTCTTTTCATCAAGGTTTTGTCGAAATAGGACTGGCGCCAAATTTTCTCTATTATAAAAAAGTTATTCAAGCAAGCTAAATTTTTCAGGTTTATGGACCTCAAAAAGACTTAAAATTCATTCATTCATTCAATTCATTTTATTCTTTAAAATCTATCCCTTCAGAATTTTCTTGGAACAGAATTTTCAATTTTCATCGTTTCAATCATCACTCTAGTGCACATCGCCAATTTCGAAAGTCCCAATACTTTTCAGGATTCAAGAGCAAATATTTTTCGGAAATCCGAGAGTAATGGAAATTGGAGATGAGTCTACTCTCGATTTTTTTCAGCTTTCCTTTTTCTCCTCTCTAATCTCGATTTTCCCGTTTTTGGTCGCTTCAAGGCAATCCTTGAATCCTTCAGATCTCAGATTCTTCAGACAATTTTACCTTCTCTGATCCCTCAGAAATCCGAGCTAGAGCTTTGCTGATTGCTCTGAAATAAACAAATGCTATTGCTAGGCAAATGCTATGCTTTTGTACTCCAGAAAGTATTTCTCAAATTGACGGCTTTTTTGTGAGATTTTTTTACGAAAACGCTGATTTTTGTTATTTAAATGGCTCGGGTTTAACACGAATATTTAATTATGTTTTGTACAAGCTCCAGAATTAAAGCAAATGCTATTGTGTACTCCAGGAAGCCTTAAAATTTTGTTTGATCAAGATATCGCTTCAGAAATGAGCTTATATTGAGCCAGTCCTTTTCCTACCTAAATCCAAGTTTTCGTACGCAATTCCAAATTTGACTTCGACTTTCAAAATCACTTCACTGAAGTCCAAAAACACTAAAATTCTTGATTTTATGTTTTTTCTTTTCATATTGGAGTAGATTTTGAGCCAGTCCTGTATTGGAGTATATTGGTGGTATGCCTGGCTGGCGACCAGCACCGTAGAATGATCCTGTAACAATAGCATGCCTTCCAGTAACACCAAAGCTTCACATAAAATGAGAAGTTCTATAAAACCAAGCAAGATTTCGTGCCAGTCCTATTTCTCGAGCTGCCAGTTTTGGTTTTTCTCAAGCTGCTAGTTCTTCGTGTTGTTGCAATTTCTTGGCCATTTCTTGGCCATTTCGGGAGAAACAAATTCCCGTTAGCTGGCTGTCTTGGGGACCACGAGAAACGGACAAACCAGGAATCTCATTTGCCTACTTTCTCTTTTGGGTCCACCTTTTCAGCTCTATCCCAGCTCTATTCTTTTTTTTCCGCAAATCGCGTTTATCGCCGTTGTGGGCCGATTTTGCTTCAATTCTAATAGAATTTAGAGATTGTGAGGAGAGAAAGCAGGAGGAGAGAAAGCACTCACAAGGTAGACCTTAAAATCAAGACTTGCTCACAAGGTAGACCTGCTTACTAGCTCAAAAGTTTTACGATCTAGCTAGCCAAAATCCAGCTAGCCAAAATTCAGCTAGCCAAATCGAAAAGCTGAAAGGCAAATTCGAGAATTGGCAAAAAGACAAAAGCAATTGGCAAAGCTGTATTCTTAAATTGTTCTCAATTCCCTTTTTCTCTTCTTCTAGAGCTTTCGGCCTCTCTTCTAGAGCTTTCACCTCTCCAGAAAAAGCCACAAGTTGTTGGACAGTTGAAAAGTTTCATCTCCAGAATCTCAGCCTCTCTTCTGCCGCCAATATCGCTTATCCATAAATCTTCCTCCACTTTCTCCACTTTTTCCACTCCCGCTTTCTTCTCTTTTCTTCCCGCTTTCTTCTCTTCTCCCCTTTTTTGTCTCCTCCTCGTTCCCCTTTCCTTTTGATTTCCTTGACCTTGACAAGTCCTTGATTCGGGCACCATTTCTTTCTTTCTTTCTTTCTTTCCTTTTTTTTGCCTTTCAATTATTACACATCATAATTTTTGACTGTTTTTAGTTTAGAGATCAATAACTGATCAATAATGAATCCAGGCCTTAATTTAAAGATTCTTCAGTCCAGAACACTTGTCTAGGCCTGTCTAGGCTTCTGTTTTACTTAAGTAACTTCAGTTTGTCTCCAGTTCGTCTCCAGTTTGTCTCCAGTTTGTCTCCAGTTTGTCTCCAGTTTGTCTCCAGTTTGTCTCCAGTTCGTCTCCAATTTGACTCCAGTTCGTCTCCAGTTTGACTCCAGTTTGTCTCTAGTTTTACTCCAGTTCGTCTCCAGTTTGACTCCAGTCTTGCATTAAAGCGATATTTTGTGTTCCATAGAGAATTCTGTGCCTTATTTCTACTAGTTAGTTGTTTTAAATCAGTTCTTTTTACAGGAAATCTCGAAGTTTAAAGTTTTCAAAAGTTTAACTCCAAAGTTGACTCCAAAGTTGACTCTAAAGTTGACTCTAAAGTTGGCCCCAAAGTTGGCCCCAAAGTTGACCCAAAGTTGACCCTAAAGTTGACTCCAAAGTTGACTCCAAAGTTGGCCCCAAAGTTGACTCTAAAGTAAAGTTTGACTCTTTAGGGTTAAAATCTAAAACCCCTAGTAAAACCCTAGCAAAATCTCTCCTTTCTATGATTTCCCATCTCTCCAATCTTTCCTAGATCCAGCACAAAAATCCCAAATTTTATCCTGTCTCGGTCGCCTCGGTATTTGTCAATCACCATTCTCTACCGGTTTTCCTATCGGCTTTCCTTTTTTCTTTCTTTTTGCTTTCTCTTGTCGCTGTCTCTTGCGCTGATTTCTGTCATTTCTGTCCAGGAAAGTGTGATTTTAACTTGAGAAAACAGAGATTCACTTATACCCCCAAATTTCTCTTGATTTTCTTTAATTTTTTTTACGGAAAACTTTTGAAACAATAATCCTGGAGTGCATTCTTTCCGCCAAAAATTAGCGATTCTTTTGTTTTCGATTTCCAAGGTTGGCTGATTTTCGAAGAGGGCTGGCTGCTTTTCTCGCTCGATTGAAGACTTTTCCCTCATTTTGTTCTTTTCATTCACCATCCTGGAAGGCAAAATAGTGATTGTTAAAAAGGTTTTCTTGAATCTGAAGATTTCAGAAGATTTTTATTTTTAGAATTTCTGCACACAGAATTATCTTTTCATTTCTGCACTTTTATTCGAGTAGTGATTAACGCCATCTTTAGCTTTAGCTTTAACGCTTTAGCTTTAGCTTTAAGGCTATTAGCTTTAGCTTTAACGCTTTAGCTTTAGCTTTAACGCTTTAGCTTTAGCTTTAACGCCTTAGCTTTAACTTTAAGGCCACCGGTCACTTCCTCTGCTCCAATGCGTTCCAGGATAACAATTCTCCTTATCTTCTTCCTTGTTTCCTTCCTTTTCCTTCCTTTTTCTTCCTTGTTCTTCCTTTTTCTTCCTTTTTCTTCCTTTTCCTTCCTTTTTCTTCCTATTCCTTCCTATTCCTTCCTTCTCTTCCTTTCCCTTCCTTCTCCTTCCTTTTTCTTCCTTCTCCATTCCTTCTCCATTCCTTCTCCTTCCTTTCCCTTCCTTTCCAACCTCCGATTCATTGAGTATTCATGAAAATTGCGTTGAAAAAAGTGCTCCTAGACATTTGGCCAAAATCCATGACTCTGACTCATTATTCTCGCTTTTCCGCTTCTCTATGAGCTTTATTTATTTCCATCTGGTTCTGATAGGTGTCATTTCCAGTGAAAAATGGAGACAGCGGTTCATGGGAGGAGTTTAGCGTTGGCCGAATTGTTGGCTGAAGGAAGGATTCCGGAAAATGGAATTGATTTGAGGTTGGTTCAAAATGTTGAATGTTTAAATGAAAAACTTTCAAGTCACTTCAACAACAACAACAACGAGATCGACTCACTGGATGGGGGCTTCCTGTTGGGAGTGAAAGGATTGGGATCCGAGTCCGCTCAAGTCTCACATTCGTCGTCATTGGAAAGTCTGGATTCATCTCCTGGATCACTCGTCAACCATATGGGCAGTCAGGTATGGGAAAAGTTCAAGGTCTTGTCTTTCTGGATGAGTTGATGGAAGATTTTGTCTTCTTGGATGACTTGTTGGAAGATTTTGTCTTCCACTCTGTAAGAGTTTGGCAAGATCGATCCCGGGAACAGTTTTGAGTGAGAGCAAGATCAAGATCGAGATCAAGATCAAGATCAAGAAAACTTTGCGAATTCAGGAACCCGACGACGATGGAGAGTCAACCTCGTGTTCGGAGGATTCTTTCGAGATGTCGTCGACTTGTTCGACTCGGGAAACACCCGGCCATTCGCCCAATCGAGAGGGAACCTCTTCGTCGTTCACTTCGGGAGGCACTGAGTACAAGTCAGTACAAAAATAGAATCGCTTATCAATTCAACCAGCCGAAAAACCAAAACAGAAGAAAAGCCGGATTTTCTGGCTTTCTGGCGGGTTCAAGCAAAAGCCTGCTCAGAGCCGGGAGTCGAACCCGGACCCTTTGGGTTGTAGATGAGCTCGCTGCCGGCTGCGCCACGGCGACCTAAAAACGCCGAGGGAAAAACCCGCTCTTAACCGGGTTTTTTGGTAATAGATGAGAGCCGATGAATTTGAAACCAGCTTAATAGCGGCTTTTTTTCAATAGGTGATCAGACCGTCGTGGCGCAGTGGAGAGCGCGTTTTTTACGGCCCACGCGATCCGGGTTCGACTCCTGGCCGTGACCTGACTTTTGCTTTTTAGTCTAAGAAACCTAAAATTATGTAAATTGGCTCACGTGAAGATGTGATGAACGGAGAGACAGACAAACGGACGAGCAAACAGACAGACACAGCTCTTTTATATAGTGGATTCTAGACTTGATGACGACTCTTCTGCCGCTCCGACTCGTGAAGGATCCACCGATCGAGAGTCATCACCATCAAGCTCAATGATTCGAAAAGGACCCTCGACTTCAATGTCGATGGACTCTTTCTTGTTGAGGGTTTGTTCTGGTTCAGTTACGCAAATTAAGACCAAGATAGATAGATTTATTTGAAAGGATAGAGCAAGTTTGGTTTTGGTCCAGTTTTGGCCCAGTTTTAGGCAATTTTTGGACCAGTTTTGGCCCAGTTTTGGCCCAGTTTCCGCTCAGTTCCCAACTCTTGACTCTTCACCCAAAACTCAACCGAAATAAATCAAAGCCAAAGTTTCTAGGATCGAATCACGAACCTTCGGGAAAGCGTCGATGAATTGGACACGGGTTTGCCGAAACTCGACTTTGATCGTCTCGAGAAACAACTCCAAACAGCCGCCAAAGAGAGAGAAGACAATGAAAGGAAATTGCTCGGTGAAGAGGTGAGAATTTGATTTCAAAAAATTATTGCATTCTTATTGCATTCAAAATTTGTGCATTCAAAATTATTGAATTCAAAAAATTCGTGCTTTCAAAATTATCCAAATCTTTTGATCCAAATCTTTTGATCCAAATCTTTTGATCCAAATCTTTTGATCCAAATCCTTTCATCCAAGTCTTTTGATCCAAGTCTTTTGATCCAAATCTTTTGATCCAAATCTTTTGATCCAAATCTTTTGATCCAAATCTTTTCATCCAAATCTTTTCATCCAAATCTTTTCATCCAAATCTTTTGATCCAAATCTTTTGATCCACTAGCATTCTATCCAGATATATAATCGATTCTAGACTTGATGACGACTCCTCTGCCGCTCATCTTTTCAATCTTTTCATCCAAATCTTTTCATCCAAATCTTTTGATCCAAATCTTTTGATCCAAATCTTTTGATCCAAATCTTTTGATCCAAATCTTTTCATCCAAATCTTTTGATCCAAATCTTTTGATCCAAATCTTTTGATCCAAATCTTTTGATCCAAATCTTTTGATCCAAATCTTTTGATCCAAATCTTTTCATCCAAATCTTTTGATCCAAATCTTTTCATCCAAATCTTTTGATCCAAATCTTTTGATCCAAATCTTTTGATCCAAATCTTTTGATCCAAATCTTTTGATCCAAATCTTTTGATCCAAATCTTTTGATCCAAATCTTTTGATCCAAATCTTTTCATCCAAATCTTTTCATCCAAATCTTTTGATCCACTAGCATTCTATCCAGATATATAATCGATTCTAGACTTGATGACGACTCCTCTGCCGCTCCATTAGCGAATGCTAATGGAATTTAATCGAGAATTTAAAAATGAATCCTTTTAACAACAAAGGAATCTTAATGAAATCAAAAAAATAATCTCGAATATTTTACGAGCTTTTCCTTTTCCGATTTTAATCAAAAATTTTCGAAATTCTAGATATTTCCCGAGTCATTTTTTCAATTTTTTTTGAAAAATTAAAAAAAAAATTAAAATTAGCAAAAAACCGGGTTTCTATGGATGATTTTAGGGTAAGAAAGGGGAAACGAAAGAAACGGAGAAAAGCAAAATTAGCGTCTCAGCGGGGATAATGTCCGTGATGGAGAAATGGGGAAAAAGATGGGCATTTTTTAGCCATTTTTTGCTATTTTTTAGCCATTCCCCTTCCTAGATGAGCTGCACTCATCATATTTTTTCGCTGACTTGAGGATATTGTCTTAAATTTTAGATGTGCGTTCCAGTTTAGTCAATGGACGGTTTAGTATGTGACATTGGACTTTTATTTGCTGGGTTTTAGATAGAGTGCCTTTCAGTTTGGAGGATTGAAAGGTTTAGAATGTGGACTAGAACCTTTATTTGTTTGATTTTAGATAGGGTGCCTTCCAGCTTGAGGATTGAAAGGTTTAGAATGTGACCTACAACCTTTATTTGCTGGGTTTTAGATAGGGTGCCTTCCAGCTTGAGCAATGACGAGTTTAGAATGTAACCTACAGCCTTTATTTGTTTGATTTTAGGTAGGATGAGTTCCAGATCGACCAATGACGAGCTTAGAACGCAACCTACAGCCTTTATTTGCTTGATTTTAGATAGGGTGCCTTCCAGCTTGAGTAATGATGAGTTTAGAATGTAACCTACAACCTTTATTTGCTTAATTTTAGATAGCATGAGTTCCAGATCGACCAATGACGAGCCTAAAAATTAGATTGGACTTTTAATCGGGCATAAAATGCGGTTTTCTTGAAATCCCATTCCCATACCCCATTTTCACCTGTCTTTACTCAATGAAAAGCTCAAGACGTCGAGATTTCGAAAGGAATTTTGACCTTACTTTGTATTTCTTGCGAAATCTTGAGCCATTCTCAAGCTCTAGAACTTTTTAGGGTTTCAAATTTGCACTCTGGACCAAATTCTACAGTAGTAGTCGAAATTTGACTGGAATTTGACTGAAATTTGACTGGAATTAGACTGGAATTTGACTGGAATTTGACTGGAATTTGTATCTCTTGCGAATCCAACGAATCCAACTTTTGACATTCCTAGGTTCGTCGCCGTTTGGCCATGCAAGTGGACGCGGTTTACTCGGGTCCAACTCCTTCAATTTCCACGAGACCGAATCGATCGAATTTAGCGCTTCGCTTGCAAATGGCTATGAATTTACAGGTAATTTCTAGATTTAAAGATTGAATAAATCTTGAATAAGAAGACGAATTAAATAGATTTGAACATTTTGAGAAAGATTGAAGCTTTTTGAGGAAGATTGAAGCTTTTTGAGAAAGAGTGAAGCTTTTTGAGGAAGATTGAAGCTTTTTGAGAAAGATTGAAGCTTTTTGAGGAAGATTGAAGCTTTTTGAGAAAGATTGAAGCTTTTTGAGGAAGATTGAAGCTTTTTGAGAAAGATTGAAGCTTTTTGAGGAAGATTGAAGCTTTTTGAGGAAGATTGAAGCTTTTTGAGAAAGAGTGAAGCTTTTTGAGGAAGAGTGAAGCTTTTTGAGGAAGATTGAAGCTTTCTGAGAAAGAGTGAAGCTTTTTGAGGAAGATTGAAGCTTTTTGAGAAAGATTGAAGCTTTTTGAGGAAGATTGAAGCTTTTTGAGAAAGATTGAAGCTTTTTGAGGAAGATTGAAGCTTTTTGAGAAAGAGTGAAGCTTTTTGAGGAAGATTGAAGCTTTTTGAGGAAGATTGAAGCTTTTTGAGAAAGAGTGAAGCTTTTTGAGGAAGATTGAAGCTTTTTGAGGAAGATTGAAGCTTTTTGAGAAAGAGTGAAGCTTTTTGAGGAAGAGTGAAGCTTTTTGAGGAAGATTGAAGCTTTCTGAGAAAGAGTGAAGCTTTTTGAGGAAGATTGAAGCTTTTTGAGAAAGATTGAAGCTTTTTGAGGAAGATTGAAGCTTTTTGAGAAAGATTGAAGCTTTTTGAGGAAGATTGAAGCTTTTTGAGAAAGAGTGAAGCTTTTTGAGGAAGATTGAAGCTTTTTGAGGAAGATTGAAGCTTTTTGAGAAAGAGTGAAGCTTTTTGAGGAAGATTGAAGCTTTCTGAGAAAGATTGAAGCTTTTTGAGGAAGAGTGAAGCTTTTGATAATTCCAAATCCCTCTATAGTATTCTATTTACGTTTAGGTTTGCTACATCAATGAGATGAGCGAAACGAGCGATGCTGAGGCGTCATCTTCAGGTAAGCTTCGGGAAATGAGCCTTTTCCATCAGCTTTTTACAGGACTTGTGAGGAAACTGAACATTTTCTTTAAGAAGTAATCTTTTTTAAACGATCATAGTTTATTCTGGATGTCACAAAAGCTAGAAATGGCGATAAAGAGTAAAATTCAAGAAATTAGCCTTTTTTATCAGGTTTTTACAGGACTTGTAACCAAATTGCAAACTTTTCTCAAGAACTGATCTTTTTTAAAAGATCATCGTTCATTCTGGATGTCACAAAAGCTAAAAATAATTTCAGAAAGCGATGACAAGTAAAATTAGTCTTTTCTGCCTTTTCTATCAGCTTTTTACAGGACCTGTGAGGAAATTGAACATTTTCTTTAAGAAGTAATCTTTTTTAAACGATCATCGTTCATTCTGGATGTCACAAAAGCTAGAAATGGCGATAAGGAGTAAAATTCATGAAATTCGCCTTTTTTATCAACTTTTTACAGGACTTGTAACCAAATTGCAAACTTTTCTCAAGAATTGATCTTTTTTAAAAGATCATCGTTCATTCTGGATGTCACAAAAGCTAAAAATAATTTCAGAAAGCGATGACGAGTGTCGAATGCCGAAGAGTCGCTCAGTGCCTTGTTTGCGGTCGAAATTGCGAGAAGATCCATTGATAAACGTGTTAAAAGAACGAGTTTCACAAGGAGATCAATTAAAACCAGGTAAGCGCATTAAAAGTGAACGTTGGCTTGACTCTTGGCTTGACTCTTAGCCTTTTCTAAACCTAGGGCTCCTTGTGTTAGCAGTTTGTCCGAGTTCTCATCAATTTCTTGGCTTAAAACCTAAAGGAATTTAAATTCTTCGATTTTTTTCATCTATCTGGATGTCATTCTCTTAAATGAGCTAAAAATGAAATAAAATCGATGATTTTTAAATTAATCATAAATTATTTGGAACTTTTCCTGGAAAAGGCGGTTTTTAATGGTAAAAAGAAGATGAAAAACATTTTTCTAGAACGGAGAACGATGCTAATTTGTCTTCTTTTGGCTTTTCTTTAGACGTTGAAGGGATTAAAGAAATTTTTTCCTTTCTAGGATTAGAGAGGTCAATTTTTTGAACTGAAAAAAGTGAAAAAAGACTAAAAAATTGAAAAAAAGACCCAAAAAGCCTCAAAAAAGACTCAAAAAAGCCTCAAAAAACCCTTTCTTTTCAGTTAAGTACCTAAAAAACTTGTAGCTTTACTTGAAAAATGCAAAATTTAGCTGAAAACGAAAGATTTTCTAGGGAAAAATGACGATAAAGCAGAGGATTTCGGTTTTAAACGAGCTCACTCAAATTTCTCGCTTAGTTTTTTCTGGTTTTGTTTTATTTTGACGGAAAATGAAACTATGGAGGTCACAGGAAAGAAATTTGGAAAAAGATTGAAAAAAAGAACTATTTGAAAAATTTGTAATTGCAGCCGAGCGTCAACAACTGCTGAGCGCTGAGACGAAAGCGGTGGTGGTGAAATCGAAAAAAGAGGGTTTAAATGCGTTGGATGAGTACCGGTCAGTGAAATGGAAGGGGTTTTGGCTTTGAAAACAGTTTTAAACAGGTTTAAACGGGTTTAAACGGGTTTAAACGGGTTTTAAACAGTTTTAAACAGTTTTAAACGGTTTTAAACGGTTTTAAACGGTTTTAAACGGGTTTAAACGGGTTTAAACGGGTCTAAACGGGTTTAAACGGGTTTTAAACAGTTTTAAACGGTTTTAAACGGGTTTAAACGGGTTTAAACGGGTTTAAACGGGTTTAAACGGTTTGAAATCAATTTTAAACTGTTTTAAACAGTTTTAAATCTGTTTTAGACAGTGTTAAACAGTTTTAAACGGTTTGAAATCAATTTTAAATCAGTTTTAAACGGTCTTAAACAGTTTTAAACAGTTTTAAACAATTTTAAATCAGTTTTAGACAGTTGTAAACAGTCTGAAATCAATTTTAAACAGTTTTAAACATTTTCAAACAGTTTTAAACAGGTTTAAACGGTTTGAAATCAGTTTTAAACAGTTTTAAACAGTTTTAGACAGTTTGAAATCAGTTTTAAACAGTCTTAAACAGTTTTAAATGGTTTGAAATCAATTTTAAACGGTTTTAAACAGTTTAAAACAGTTTCAATCAATTTTAAACGGTTTTAAATGGTTTTAAACGGTTTTAAACGGTTTGAAATCATTTTTAAACATTCTTAAACATTCTTAAACATTCTTAAACAGTTTTAAACACTTTTATTCAATTTGTGAACTTGCCGAAATTTAGACGAAACAAATCTCGAGCCTCCGAAGTTCCCCGTCAATCTCGGCAACTATTAAGTCGACTGAGCACCTCGGAAATCGCAGAGATTCTGCGGAAAATTCAGGACGCTATAGCTGGTGAGCTGAGCGGTTTTTTTAACGTTTTAATCTACTCTAGTTTTCTGTGTCTCTAGTTTTTCTCAATAAAGCTGCGATTAGATTAGAAAAGTTATCGTTTTACCGTTTTCAATTGCAGGGAAAAACGGCGAGTTAGTGCGGCTGCTGATCGAAAGAGACACTTTGCATATGGAACACGACTCTTTGCTCGTTGACATCGATGATTTTCAGGTAAAGCTTAGAGTTGACTAGGGAAAAGTCGTTGAGCTGGAAGTTGATCAGCTGAAATGATAGCTTATCCGAAATGACAGCTTATCGAAAATCAGATAAGCTAATCACAAACAGCTAGAATTGTTTGAAACAGCTAGAATCAGCTAGAGCCAGCTAGAACCAGCTAGAATCAGCTAGAGCCAGCTAGAATCAGCTAGAACCAGCTAGAGCCAGCTAGAACCAGCTAGAATCAGCTAGAACCAGCTAGAATCAGCTAGAATCAGCTAGAATCAGCTAGAATTGTTTGAAATCAACGAGAAATCTCGTCTTTATTGTAAGCAAATAAGTCTGAAAATTAATCTAAAAATCAATGAATCTTTCATCAATCCAAAACTTAATCAAAAACAAATCGTTTGTCCAGTGTAGGATTCGAACCCACCAGGAAAGGGATTCGATCGTTTTGTAGACAATCACACTAACCACTAGACCATCAGGGCTGTTTGCAGGGAAACGGAAACTCATTTTATATCAACTTTGAGGCAAGAAATCTTTAGTTTGAGAAAAAACTCTTCAGCTAGGTCTTAAGCTGAGTGTACGTTGCCCTTCCAAAGGCGGTCGTGGTCTATTGGTTAGTGTGCTCGTTTACAAAACGAATCTCCTTTCCCTCCACGAGGGTTCGAATCCCCCGGTTGCTTTTTAATAAGAATTTTGATTTTCCTACTTGTTCACTTTATTTACAAGCCAAATTTTGCAATGAAACGAGATGTGAAATGTCAAGGGTTCAATCCCGTTGGCTAGATTCAATCCCGTTGGTTAGTTTCAATTCGTTCTTTTCCCCAAATAGGTTTTTCTCTTTTCTACATTTAGAACTGTTTTTCGATTCTTTGTACGACATTCTTCTTTCGAATTTCCCCATTTTTGATTCCAGGAACACGAGGCCGAAGCCCCAGCCTTGGATTTGAAACGACTTTTCCATCTGCAAGAAAAACCGGAAGAAATTGTCGAGCTCAAGAAAGGAAATTGTTTGAAAGTTGGTTTTTTTGAGGGAAAGGAAGGAAGCCTTTGTGAAGGAAGGAGGCCTTTCTAATCTTGAATTCAGGATTCACCGAAGGAAGGAGGCCTTTCTAATCCTGAATTAGGGCCTAGCCCTGGTAAGAAGAAGCGCAAAACATTTTCTCAATTAGAAAGGCTTCCTCCCTTCGGTGAATCCTAAATTTTGACTCAATTCGATCAAAACTAGACTAAAATGATTCGATTTTAGTCATTTCTTTCACTTTTTAGAGCTTTTTTTGTAGTTTTGTAGCCTATTTTGGACTTTGCTTAGCTTATTTTGCGAATTTCAGCCAATTCCTGCCCGACCGAGTCGCCCGAAAACCCTCGAAACGTCGAATGGAGTGCAAAGGAAGCCAAGCAAGGCGTCGAGCCAAGCGTCGAGCCAAGCGTCAAGCCAAGCGTCAAGCCAAGCAACGAGTTTCTTGACTGAAAACTTGCCATCACCATTCGCTCAACTTTCTCCCTCAAAAATCTTGTCTAACTTTAGGATATTTCGGCGGTGAACTTGATTTATTTCAAATTTAATTCAAAAAATTTTTTGACCGATCTCGGGATCGAACCCAGACCCCTCCCTAGAGCTTCCGACCGGCAACCAAACGCGCTAACCACTAGGCCATCCACCCACAGTCCTCGCCCATCAGAAAAGCCGTTTTCAACCCCCCGTCCCTCAAATTTTACAATTTTTTTTGATAAATCTTTATTTTTTTTCTCTTAAAATCACGCGAACTGAGATCAACGAAAAATAAGCCGAAAGAGAGAATAATTAAGGCTAAATAAAAAGCTTTTCATCAGTTCTGGATGTCACTAAACAGTTAGCAATTCTTAGTTCCTGAAAATCGATAACTTTTCGATGGCGCAGTGGGGAAAGGCTTGATTTTCGAGGCCGACGGTCGCTGGTTCGACTCCGGCCGCCGCCAAAAGTTTTAGCTTTCTGTAATTTCGGCTTTCTGTAATTTTCTGTGATTTCGGCGTACAGCCAGCCATCAGAAAAGCCGTTTTCAATCCCCCGTCCCTCAAATTTCACACTTTTTTTTGATAATCTTTTGATAATTTCTTTTGTTTAGAATTTTTCGAAACTTTTTTTATTTTTATAAAATTGAACTCTTCAATGGGTATTTTTTCGCTTTCACAATCGTTTTTTTCTCTATTTTTTTTTCTTTATTTCAACAAAAATCCCCAATTTTTTGGTGCTTTTCTTTGATTTTTTAGGCACTTTACATTGAAAAATATGGAAATTTCAGATTTTTCTTTATCTTTTTCCAATTTTTATCAATCGATTCGATAGTTGTGTGGATTTAGAAGTGATTTAGAAGTGATTTTCTTTTCATTTTCTTCATTTTCCTCAGTTTTCTGTCATTTTCTTCATTTTCTGTCAAAAATTTCGTCTTTTCTGATCCGGTTTCCTGAGTGATCCAAAAATCAAAGCAATAAATGACTTCTAAAAACGGAAACCATCATCGAAAATCACATTTTTGGCTAATCTGGATGCCACAGAGAAAGAATAGAAAGAGAAATTTTGAAAAATCACAATTTAAAAGAAAAACAAGATCAAGAGAGCTTATCAATCGTTTTTGAGCTCAATTTACATATAGAATTAGTGCTTTAATGAGATTTTGAACTTTTGGAAGTCACACTTCAACAAGCTGACAAGTTTAGGCGAAAATTTGGACCCGGTTCAGTTACCCAATTTTTCTTGGTTGGGCAATAAAAGCGATTCGGTTAGATTTTGTCAAAGGCCGCTAAAACTTTCCACAGATCCCTAGTGCATTCCAATTTGAGTTTTGACAAAGCTAAACAAGCTGCTTTCCTGTCCACAGAACCACTTCAGAAGACGGACTTGGATCAGCAAAACGATTATCAGCAAGAAGGAACACAAAGCGAGGATTGTTTAGAGTTGGCGCTTGAACAACTTTCTTGATTTCATTGAATTCAACTCTCTGGCAACTCTCTGGACCTTAATCCAGTGGATTTTTTTATATGGAGCGTTCTTAAGGACTTTTTCTATATAGAGCTTGTTCAAAACCCCATAGAAACGTCAACTCATTGAAGAGAGAGCTTGACAAAGCCTGGCAAACACTTGATATCCTTTAATGACCACCATAGAAACGCCTACAAGCCTCCAAGCTCTAGAAGCGCCTACAAGCTTGCAAGATGGTGGACTGTTGGACAATTGGACTGTTACTGGTTTCACTGGTAATTTGACTTCTAATTGTTACATGTTGATAAAGGAAAGTTATCAAAACATCAAGCCTAGGACCTTAAATTTATGATAGCTTTTCCTTTTTTGATCATTGAGACAATAAGAACTTGTTTTGATTCAGCTGAACTCAAAGATTTCTCAAGAAAACGAGCACTCCAATGTTTTGAGACAATTCACTAAGAAAGAAAGAAAAGAAACAAAATTTTTGAGAATCCTGGAACGCACATCAAAGCAAGCAAGAAGTTTTTCAGCTTTTCAGCAAAACTCGGAACCGCTACTGGGATCGAACCCTCGACCCTCAGAGCGCTAGCCAAGCTCACTAACCACTCGGCCATCTTGCATCAACATCAAAACGCTTTAAAAATACTGCAAATTTCAAATATTTATTCTAAATCTCTAAATCTCTTCAGTTTCCTCGTCAAATACAAGCCCGGTCTTGGTCCAGTGGCAATCCGGCACTTTTTCCACGTCGAATCTTCTCGAGAAGCGTTTCTCCAAAATTTCTTCATTTTTCGTCTTTATTACCCAAGTATCCAACCATCTGGAAGTCACTTGAACTGATTAAAAAACAACTTCAACTTACTTTCTGATTTCTTTCTCATCGATTTCGAAGCCTGGTCTATACCGCCAAAGTTCTGCCTCTTTTCTTAAAGCGCAATGACTGAAACAAATAATTGATTGGTTAATTGGCTAAGCTGGAAGTCACCAGAGAACGTCATTATGAACAAAAACGGAAAATCGCAGCTTGTAGCTACGCGACTTTCCGTTTCCATTGCTAATGACATTTCCGCAAAATGCCTATTTCTTAAAGTTTGGCTCTTTTTTAGATGTTGTGACTGCCAGATGGAAGATTCGTATAAGTTTTGAACCAATTCAGTGTTTAGAACCTGTTAAAAGCTGTAGATACCTGAGATTGTGAAAAGCTTCATTGGTGAATTGATAATCCCACCAACCGAACTCACCAGGTCGACTCCTTTGGCTAGAAATGATTGCTTTCATGCTCGAATGTTTAGTAAATCCTCACCTTTCCTTCCAATTATGAAAGATGAAATCGTTTCGGCTGAATTTTCCCTCAGTCAACCATCCATCTCGCACATAAGAATAGGATTTTCGCAAAAACTTGATCCCCGGAATGTTCCGGTTGTCAAGAAGATCCCTGACGCAAACCTCGTAAAGATAAAGCCAGCAGTCTCTTCTGAAATCAGCTTGACAATCCAAAGAGCCGAAAACTCACTTCGCTAATTCCCACCAATATTCGCATTTTGTCAGATTTGCCTCAAGTTCTGGGAAGTAATTGCGAATAATTCCACTCTAAATCAGCTTTTAAAAGGTGAATAGAGTCGTGTTTAAGATCCAGGATTGTTTCCAGGCTTGTTCCAGCTCATTTCAAGGGTTTTTAAGGCCTGGAAAACGTTTTGAGAAGTTGGCCAGGTCTTTGGCCTCTTAATTGAATCTGATTAGATAGAAAATGAAATTTCGGGCGAACTGGAGGGCACGATATAGGGATTTGAAAAGAAATGAGGAATTTGCGGTAGGTTAAATAGTGACTCAAACTACCGTACCCCCGGAGTACTGTAACTAGTCGTAGATAAAAGAAAATGAGCTAAAACGCTTGTGTGGCATCCAGGATTGACAAATCAGGCAAAAAAAACTTAGAGTCACTATATAAAAAATCGCTAATTGGCTACTGTCGGAAACTAGCGTCGTTTTTTTCTTTTTTGCACTGCAATTTTGCAATAAAACTCTTGTGTGACATCCAGGATTGACAAATAAACTTTGGCCTGGCCTGGTCTGTCTGAGGTTTTGGGTATTTCTTCTCTTAGTCACTAGAAAACCAAAGGCTCTACTCTGGGCCAGGTTTGTTCAAGTCTACTGGCCTGATTCTGACCTGATCCTTGCCCTAGTACAGCCTGTTAGTCCTCAACTGATCAGCTTCAGCTGAGTTGTAGTCAGCTCAATCTTTAAGCTCAAGCTCAACTCAAATTAAATTGCACCACATTGGTGACATTCATTCAAAAGCTGGCTTGGGCAACTTATTAAAGCTCAGGCTTAGGCTGGCTTGGACTTAGTGCGAAGGCTAGCGGCTAGCGGCTAGCGGCTAGCGGCTAGCGGCTAGCGCCTAGCTGAGCTAGTTTGGGCTGAACCCCCATTTTCTGGATCTCAGCCCGTTCCCGGAGTTAGGCTTAGGCTGAAACTAAGCTCACATGAATCGCCGCATTATCGCGTCCATATCTTCCTCCATACTCTGTTTCACTTTTCGCCCACATCATCAAGAAATCCCGGCCACGTGGATCATTTCTAAACTAGAGTGAAATCTCTTTAAACTGCCTACCTAACAATATATGATCCAGCCATAATCTCCGAGTTCATCACCCGATTCGTTAACACCAGAAAGGTTGAAGGGTTTGTTGGGATGAATTCGTCGATTTTTTGGTTTGGGTTGATGATGCCTAGAGGGGAAATGTTGGCTATGGGATTGCAGAGGATTGCAGAGGATTGCAGAGGTTTAAGCAACATGCAACAATGAGAAATCTCCCCCTGAACTCACCCATATCCGCATCCAGCATCACAAACCATTCATGTTCCGTCGTATTCATGAAGTTCGCCAGAATACAATGTCGCTGATGCATATACTGAATGATTTCCCAGTCCTTTCCTTTCCGCCAAACTCACATCTTCCATTGCACATCCTTTCACATTCTCCTCATCATTCACGATCAAATAATAAGGGATTTCTCTTGATTCACAATAGCAAGCTAGTGATTTCTGAGCTGATTCGTACTCGTCAAGATTCGAAAGACTTTCCATTAACACAACGAAAGCATAGAGACCAGTCTGAACTTTTCAAAGCCTCAAAAAACAAGGTCCAGCTGAGTCTCTGTGAGCTGAGCCTCTCTGGACCTTGTTTTCTGGATCTGAGCCCAGCTTTCAAACCTTGTTCTTAGATGAATTCGTCAGCTGCTGGAGAAATAGACCAAGTCGATTGGTTCGGTGTTTTGGTGGGGAGGTAAAGCCTGAAAAATCGATGAGTGAAACGATTCGAGTTTTGCAGATATAGAGCTAGAGATAGAGCTAGAGATAGAGCCAGAGATTGATTGCAACGCTGGATTGCAATCCTTGATTGATTGTAATGCTTTAGAAGCTAGATTTAGGATAGAAACGTGGCTTGGGCCGGGCTAGATCTTGATCTTGATCTGGCTTGATCTAGACCAGATCTAGTCAGGTCAGCAGGTCTAACAATAAGCCTAAAGTAGGAGTCAAATCCTGGCCAAATCCTAGCCAAATCCTAGCCAAATCCTAGCCAAATCTTTGGTTTAAAGTCTGGCTAAACCCAAGCCAGATCTTTGGCTTAAAGCCTGGCCAAATCTGGGCCAAATCTGGGCCAAATCCTGGCCAAATCTGGGCCAAAAGCAATGCTGATTGTTTTAAATCTCTTCAGTTTCCTCGTCAAATACAAGCCCGGTCTTGGTCCAGTGGCAATCCGGCGTCAAGTAGGAGTCAAATCCTGGCCAAATCCTAGCCTGATCTTTGGCTTAAAATCTGACCAAATCCTAGCCAAATCCTGGCCAAAGCTCTGGCCAACTCCCGTCTGGCATTGGTTGTCAAAAACCTGCCATAAAACTTACCACAATATTCGAAGAAAAGAACAAACATAAACAGTAAAAGGAGCGCAATCAGTAATCTCCTTTTCTTCAGAATTCGACATAAAAATAGTAGCTTGATATTTGAAATTAGCATTAAAACTTTCAAAAAAGCAATGCGAATCGTTTTTCTGACGACCAGAAACGACAAAATGAGGAAATTGATTAGGGAAATGAAGCCTAAGCCTAAGCATTTCACCTGCCAAATTTCTATAGCGGATAACTACCGAATTGTAATTAATTTCTCACCATTTTCCTTTTAATTTTAATTCGGATAAATGAAAGGGGACAAAAGAAAGGAGATAAAAGAAAGGAGATAAAAGAAAGGGAATAAAAGAAAGGGGATAAAAAGGGATTTTGTTTTCCTCAATTTGTAGTACTTTTCTTGAATTGTCATTCTTGTCACACTTTTAAAGTTTAATTTTCTAAAATCCTGAATCTATTGAACTTTTTAGATATCGTGACATCCAGATTGGGGTTATTTCTTCGAAATTACAGACTTTACTTGGCAAATTTTCAAAAATTCGATGAGAACTTAGAGCTTCCAAAAATTTTTTTCAATCCTGGATTTCACAAAATCTATTAAACTTTTTGGATACAGTGACATCCAGATTGAAGTTATTTCTTCGAAATTACAGACTTTATATGGAAAATTTTTCCAAAAAACGAGGAGAACTTGAAAATCCATCAGAAATTTTTTTAAATCAACGATTTGAGTTTAAAATTTCAAATCTTTCAACTCTGTGACATCCAGATTGAACATATTTGCTAGAAATTATAGGCCAGACTTCGCAAATTTTTAAAGAACCAAGGGGATCTTGAAAGTTCTAAAAATTTTTGTTTAATTCTGGATTTCACAAAATCTATTGAATTTTTTAGATATAGTGACATCCAGATTGAAGTTATTCCTTAGAAATTACAGACTTTATTTGGAGGATTTTCAGAAAATCGAGGAGATCTTGAAAGTTCTAAAAAAACTTTTTTTAATTCTGGATTTCACAAAATCTATTAAACTTTTTAGATACAGTGACATCCAGATTGAAGTTATTCCTTAGAAATTACAGACTTTATATGGAAAATTTTTCAAAAATCGAGGAGAACTTGAAAATCCATCAAAAATCTTTAAAATCAATGGTTTAAGTTTAAAGTTTCAAATCTTTCAACTCTGTGACATCCAGATTGAACATATTTACTAGAAATTATAGACCAGATTTGAAAAGTTTTAAAAAAAATCAAGGGGATCTTGAAAGTTCTGAAAAAATTTTTTTAATTCTGGATTTCACAAAATCTATTGAATTTTTTAGATATAGTGACATCCAGATTGAAGTTATTCCTTAGAAATTACAGACTTTATTTGGAAAATTCTTCAAGAAATCGGCGAGAACTTGAAAATCCATCAAAAATTTTTAAAATCAACGATTTAAGTTTAAAATTTCAAATCTTTCAACTCTGTGACATCCAGATTGAACATATTTACTAGAAATTATAGACCAGACCTAGAAAGTTTTCAAAAAATCGAGGAGAACTTAAAAGTTCTAAAAAAACTTTTTTTAATTCTGGATTTCACAAAATCTATTAAACTTTTTAGATACAGTGACATCCAGATCGATGTTATTTCTTAGAAATTACAGACTTTATTTGGAAAATTTTCAAGAAATCGAGCAGTACTTGAAAATTCTTCAAAAACTCAGAAGTTCTTTCGAATTCTAGCTCAATTCTAGCTATTTCAACTCTGTGACATCCAGATTGAACATATTTGCTATTACATTGAGTTAAAAGGCTAAATATCTATGTTAAAATGCTCAATGCTCTGCTAAGATATCAGTTTTCCATCAGGAATGAGATTTTCAGATCTCTAAAACTAAAAGAGTTAACGCAAATGATTCCGATTTTGATTTAGTATCGTTAAAGTACGAAAAAACCCATAAAGAGGCTGAAAAAAGGCTAAAAACGAAAAGATAGAAATATTTTTTTTTGATTTTTGATTATTTTGGTCTATAGAATAGGTAAAATATGAGAATTCGCAATTTCATCGTTTTGTTTTGTTTTGTTATTTGCTATTTGCTAGAATTCTATAGATATTTCTTTTAGTTTTCAATTGCTAAAAACAAATTTCCTTTCCTTTTATAAACACAACGAAAAAAAATCACAGAAAAGACGAAAAACCCGTTTTTTTTTGGTATCCGTACTCTTTTAATAAACAAAATCTTGAAAAAAATAGCTAAAACCAGCTAAAAAACGAAATAGAATTGAAAATATCCATCATTCATGTAGTTTAAAACAGTTTAAATCACAGTTTTTAATGGCAATTCACTGCCGAATCCACGTTGAACGTTTGCGAGAGCTTTGCTTGCCGATCTCGTTCTTTTTTCGTGTTTTTTATCCAAGTATCCAACGATCTGGAAGTCACAGTACAGTTTTTTCGCTTTTCTAGAGCTCACTTTCGATTTTCGGCAACGGTCACTCGGAAGCCGGGCTTGTAACGCCAAAGCTGGTAGGCTTCCTCGCCCGATGTGCAGAGACTGAAAAAAAGAACTCAAGAACGAAGCCAAGCAGCCAGCCAGCTAGCCAGCCAGCTAGCCAGCCAGCCAGCTAGCCAGCCAGCCAGCTAGCCAGCCAGCCAGCTAGCCAGCCAGCCAGCTAGCCAGCCAGCCAGCTAGCCAGCCAGCCAGCTAGCCAGCCAGCCAGCTAGCCAGCCAGCCAGCTAGCCAGCCAGCCAGCTAGCCAGCCAGCCAGCTAGCCAGCCAGCCAGCTAGCCAGCCAGCCAGCTAGCCAGCCAGCCAGCTAGCCAGGCAAATATAAACCTTAAATTATTGAAAGCATCCTCGGTGAATTGGTAATCCCACCAACCAAATGCGGCTCGATTGTTTTTTACTCTGAAATTTCATGATAAAGAGAGCTTTTTAGGAAATGGGGATACGCAGATTTTCATGCTGATTTCAAATATCTCTTCCGTTTTCTCTAAATGACAATCTGCGAAGAGTTAGAAGTGTTTAAAGTTTTGTTAGGACTGTGGTCATTTGAGTCTCCTTGCGCCCTCTTAACGGTCTCCTTGCCCCCTCTTAATAGCTTCCTTGGGGACCCGTTTCCCTGCAGCTGTGGCCGAGTGGTAAAGCCCTCGTTTCCAAAGCCAGACCTGGCAGGTTCGATCCCAACCTCGACTTTTTTTAAAAAAAAGATGGTTCATTTGGGTATTAAGGGCCTCCTTGAGAGCTTAATTGCTTGCAGCCGTGGCCGAGTGGTAAAGCCCTCGTTTCTAGAGCGAGAGCTCACGGGTTCGATTCCCACTTCGGTTTATCTAGCTTTTTTTACAAAAAGGTGGTTTATTTGGGTGTTAACGGTCTCCTTGGGGGCCTGTTTTCCTGCAGGTGTAGCCGAGTGGTAAAGCTCTCGTTTCTAGAGCGAGACATTGCAGGTTTGATCCCGACCTCGACTTTTTAAAAAAAAAAGATGGTTCATTTGGGTCTTAATGGCCTCCTTGATTCGTTGCAACTGTGGCCTAGTGGTAAATCCCTCGTTTCTAGCGCGAGAGCTCATCAGTTCGATTCCCACTTCAGTCTATTCTTTGCTTTTTTTCTCGGTCAGATTAAATTGTTAAAGCCCACTTCTCTTTCCAATTGTGAAAGATGAAATCATGTTGACTGAATTTCCCTCCAGTCAGCCATCCATCCCGCACATAGGAATAGGTTTTCTCCAGGAACTGAAAGATTCGATAAACTAGTGTCGAGAAAAAAAAGGCGTTTAAAGTTAGACGACGCGACTGTACGACTGTACATTCTGGCTATTTACGACATTCTGTAGCCATTTTCGAGCTTACAGCTTTCAAATGTGGGAAATTTTCGATGAACCTGAACGCCTGGAATGTCAAAGTTGTCGAGGAGATTTCGAACACAGACTTCATAAAGAAAAAGACGACAATATTGTCTGTAAAATTGGTTTGGTTGATAGAATTGCTTGTTGAGTTTATAAAGAGCTTATAAAGAGCTTCTAAAGGCCTGCAAAGGCTTCTAAAGGCTTCTAAAGGCTTCTAGAGGCTTGTAAAGGCTTGTAAAGGCTTGTGAAGGCTTGTAGAGGCTTGTAAAGGCTTCTCAAGGCTTCTAAAGGCTTGTAAAGGCTTGTAAAGGCTTGTAAGGGCTTCTAGAGGCTTGTAAAGGCTTGTAAAGGCTTGTAAAGGCTTGTGAAGGCTTGTACAAGCTTGTAAAGAACAAAAATCGACTTTACTCGGTCAATTTCCACCAATATTCACATTTAGCCAGACTCGATTCCAATTTTGGGAGATAGCGTCGAACGATTGCACTCTAAAATCAAAGCTATTAATGTAAAACAAGTCAAAAAACTCAAATCTAAGACCTAATCTTGGAATTGAGAGGTTTTAAGAAAAATCTGGAAGCCAGAAGTGGCTAGAGACTTCTCAAAACTACACCAAAGCAACACGAAAACTCGAACTGACTAAAGCTCAAATATTGTGAATCTAAGTAATCGAGAAGTCTCTGTGCGTGCCAGGATTCGATTTAAGCCGCCAGTGAAAATGATTCAATATTGTGGGGGCTGAGAAAAAGCGTCAAACTGCTCAAACGAACATGCACAGCAGCATTGTCGCTCCCGAAACGGTCTCGATAAACCTCGAAACTCTTCGCCCACATCATTAGAAAGTCGCGGCCACGAGGATCATTTCTATGGATAACATTGAAACAAAGTGCAGCCTCACAATCCCCAACCTCACAATATAGGATCCAGTCATGATCTCCGAGTTCATCACTCGATTCGTTAGCACCAGAAAGATCGACTCATTAACGGGATGAATTTGTCGATTGAAGTGTCCGGGTTGATCACTCCTGAATTGTGGGACATTAGATTGCCCACTTTTGCCATTGGCAAAGTTTGAGCACAAATATCTTGGCTTTGGGTTGTCCAAACTCAATATTCTTGGTATCATTAGATTCGCCAAGCCTTTCTCTATCGATTGGTATAAAAAGTATCTAAATTGAACCACCCAAATCCGAGATATTTGCGCTTAAAGTTAGATTGGAAAAAGTGGCGGAGCTAGAAAGGCCTTATATACGCGCCTCGTATCATTAGATGCGCCAAGTCTCTCTCTATCGATTGGTAGAAAAACTATTGATACAGGACAATCCAAAGCCGAGATATTTGAGCTTAAAGTTAGTGGCAAAAGGGGCGGAGCTAGAAAGACCTTCTATACGCGCTTTGTATCATTAGATTCGCCAAGTCTTCCTCTATCGATTGCTATAAAAAGTATCTAAATTGGACAATCCAAAGCCGAGATATTTGAGCTTAAAGTTAGATTGGAAAAAGGGGCGGAGCTAGAAAGACCTTATATACATGCCTCGTCCCTTTTGCCATTGGCAAACTTTGAGCTCAAATATCTCGGCTTTGAGCTGTCCAATATAGATAGTTTTTATATCTATCGATAGAGAAAGACTTGGCGAATCTAGTGATACAAAGCGCGTATATAAGGTCTTTCTAGCTCCGCCCCTTTTGGCACCTTAAATTTGAGCTCGAATATCTCGGCTTTGGGTGGTCCAACTTTAATACTTTTTATACCAATCGATAGAGAAAGGCTTGGCGAATCTAATGATACAAATAAGATCGGAATTCGATAGCCCAACGCCGAGATATTTGAGCTCAAAGTTGAGCTAGCTGATTATAGTCTAACCTGGTCTATTTCAGCCTAAATAAAACCAAATTACTTTCTCAAATCGAGGTAGATCTAGCCTTCCTGGAGGTAGATCGTGCTAGATCTAGTCTTCCTTCTGACCTACTCATAGACCAGAGCCAAATCTAGGTCCGACTCTGGTCCAAGTCTTTCCTAAACCGAAAGCAAGCCTTGATGGCAAGATGGGAATCAGAAAAATGGCAAATTAGAAACAAATTTCTGCGATCTGGAGTACACGAAAGGATTTGGTTAATTGATTTGAGCGGAATTTGCGAGTTTTGAATTCTGAGCCGGGATGGGCTAGCCTAGTCAGCAGGCTGTCAAATGGAGTGTCAAATTGGTGATTTGTGCAGCTCAGAGCTGATCAACTGGGCTCTGGGTGTTGGCAAAACCCTAAGCAGAGTCTCTAGCCCGATAACTAACCCATATCCGCATCCAGCATCACAAACCATTCGTGCTCTGTCGTGTTCATGAAGTTTGCAAGGATACAATGCCGTTGATACATATACTGAATCGCTTTTTTATTCAAATTGGAGGTCAGGAAAGGTTTTGGGACTGGAAAGGGACTGGAAAAGGACTTTCCGGACGACCAGATTTGTTAGTTTCGAGTTCAAGTCCAGAAATCTGTTCAAAACTGTTTACTAGCCAATTCAAACGATTTTTTGGTTTTTCTGGAGGTCACCTGAAACTCGAAAAGATTAAAATCGTTGATTTTGAATGATTTTTCAATTTCCATTTCCTCAAACTCACATCTTCCATTGCACATCCTTTCACATTCTCTTCATCGTTCACAAGCAAATAATAAGGGATTTTCCTCGATTCACAATAGCATTTCACTGTTTTTTGAGCAAATTCGTACTCAGCAATGTTATCTCGATTTTTCAACAACGCCACAAAAGCATACGAAACATCCTAAAGCTATGAAAGTTCAATTTTTTCAATCTTGACCTTCACGAAATCTATTAAACTTTTTAGATACAGTGACATCCAGATTGATGGTATTTCTTAGAAATTACAGAGTTTATTTGGAAAATTTTTAAAAAATCGATGAGAACTTGAAAATCCATAAAAAATTTTTTAAATCAACGGTTTAAGTCTCAAATTTCAAATCTTTCAACTCTGTGACATCCAGCTTGAGCATATTTGCTGGAAATTATAAACCAGACTTGGAAAATTTTCAAAAAATCAAGGAGAACTTGAAAGTTCTAAAAAAATTTTTTTAATTCTGCATTTCACAAAATCTATTCACCTTTTTAGATCCAGTGACATCCAGATTGATGGTATTTCTTAGAAATTAGAGAGTCTATATGGAAAATTTTCAAGAAATCGAGCAGAACTTGAACAGTTAAAAAAAATTTTTTTTAATCCTGGATTTCACAAAATCTATTAAACTTTTTAGATGCAGTGACATCCAGATTGAGCATATTTGTTAGAAATTACAGACTTTATTTGGAAAATTTTCAAGAAATCGAGGAGAACTTGAAAGTTCTAAAAAAATTTTTTAATTCTGGATTTCACAAAACCTATTCACCTTTTTAGATACAGTGACATCCAGATTGATGTTATTTCTTGGAAATTAGAGAGTCTATATGGAAAATTTTCAAGAAATCGACGAGAACTTGAAAATCCATCAAAAATTTTTAAAATCAACGATTTGAGTTTAAAATTTCAAATCTTTCAACTCTGTGACATCCAGATTGAACATATTTGCTGGAAATTATAGACCAGACTTGGGAAGTTTTTAAAGAATCAAGGAGATCTTAAAAGTTTAAAAAAAAATTTTTAAATCCTGGATTTCACAAAATCTATTAAACTTTTTAGGTATCGTGACATCCAGATTGAAGTTATTTCTTAGAAATTACAGACTTTGTTTGGGAAATTTTCCAAAAATCGAGCAGTACTTGAAAATTCTTCAAAAACCCAGAAGTCCTTTCGAATTCTAGCTTAATTCTAGCTATTTTCCTAGAATTCTAGCTCAATTCTAGCTATTTCAACTCTGTGACATCCAGATTAAACAAATTTGCCCAGAAAATCGTACCCTCTTCGGCGTAGGTTGGATAAAAGTCGAGCTATTCAAGAAGTCGAAGAGTAAATTGTGGGATGAGATCGGCGACGAAAGATCATCTGAAATTCGGACGCTGTGCATGCCAGCTTTGCCGAAAATCCCCAAAAACAAACCTCTTTTAAAGTATTGTACAAGTAAAAAGAGGCTCGACACGACGGAGAAGAGTAAAACGAAAAAGAAACGTTTTCTTTTGATCATTACATCTGAAAATGAAGGGAATTCGTGTTTAAAATGATTCGATTTATTTTTTGAATTAAAAAAGCTCGTTTGTAAGATAAAAAAGCTGAAATTCATTGAAAACACGCGAAATTGGTTGTTTTGTAAATCTTAAACGATTCCTAAGCCTAAGCCTAAGCCTAAGCCTGAGCCTGAGCCCTAGCCTGAGCCCTAGCCTGAGCCTAAGCCTGAGCCTGAGCCTGAGCCTGAGCCTAAGCCTAAGCCTAAGCCCCTGAACGAGTCGTCCAACTTTGAAAGCCCATATCTTTGTCCAGAGATTATCTTATGCCAAACTTTTTATATCATTGAATAGAGGAGATTTTAGGCTTTCGATTGACACTAAATAGAGCTTGTTTGGCGTTTTGCATTCCTATAAAAACCAGGTTACACTGGAGCTGAGTTGGATCGGCCTCCGTTTCTTCATCTCCTTTGATTTTTCTAGACTGGATTACCCAATCAAGCTTTATTTAGTGTCAATCAAAAGCCTGAAATCTCCTCTACTCAAACATCTAAAGAGTCAGCTCTAATCTTATCACTAGACAAAGTTATAGATCTTTAAAGTCTGACGACTCGTTAGATCGGCCTCCCTTCCCACATTTCCTTTGATTTTTCTAGACTGGGTTACCCAATCAAGCTTTATTTAGTGTCAATCGAAAGCCTAAAATCTCCTCTATTCAATGATATAAAAGGTTTGGCATAAGATAATCTCTGGACAAAGATATGGGCTTTCAAAGTTGGACGACTCGCTCCGGAAAGTCGACTAGCCGAACAATTGACTAAATTTGACTTTTCTAAACTTTTAAAAAGCTTTTTGCTATCAGATTTCCTAAAATAAAGAGTATTTAGTTGAAAAATAAGAATAAAATCAAAAAATAAAGGCAAAATAAAGAAAAAAGAACAGAATTTGTGATGACTTTTCGAAAATCGATGAAAAAAAACGAATTTTGAATGAAATTGATGATTTCTATAAGGAATTTGATAAAATGCTCAACAAATGCCAAAAGATTTTCCCCAAATTCCCTCTCTCCTGTTCCCCTTTTCTATTCAAAAATTGTCGGGGATGTGCTGAGTAAACAAAAGGAGAGAAAGCGATGGTTTTTGGGGGTTTTCAGCGGTTTTCAGCGATTTTCAGCGCTTTTCAACGGCCCCCTCACTTTTTGAGGACTCTCATCAGAGAAAATGGCAAAACAAGCCCGAATTTCTTCGATCTGGAGTACACGAGCGCGCTTGCTAAATCGATTTTCGCGAGATTTTCGATTTTTGGGTTTTGAGACTCGGCTCGGCTTCTAGTTGAATAAAAATCGTTTTTTTCTGGCGTAGAAGGGTCAAATTCGCTTTCAGATTAACCCTTTTAGGCTTAGAATGACTGAAAATGACTGAATGACTCTTAAATCAATAGAATTTGACATGAAAAATAGAAACTCAAATTTCCCCCAACCACCAACAAACAACCGGCTAATCCTCTAAACCAAAATCGATTTGAAAAGTGTTTGTGAGCTGAAACTAGCGTCAAAAAGCGGTAAAAAGCTTTCCGAGATATGGAAAAAAGCCTTCCGGATGTTATTCTGTTTGTTTAAGAATTGGAAAAAGCTAAGCGCTCGAGGTGGACTCGAACCAAAGCTGAGAGCTTTGACTTTTAGGAGAGCTGGTTCCGTTTGACAGCGACAGCGTTTGACAGCTACAGCGTTTGACAGCAACAGCTAGCCATTGTGCCACAGAGGCTGGACCGCTAGTTAGAGGTAAAAAACTTTCTTGATCTGGAAAAAAGTTATTGCGTTTTTTGAGGCTTGGGAACTTTTGGCCATGATAAAGAAGCTGTCAATCTCTCAGAAATTCGTCTCCAAAGCTCTAGTGACTTCCAGAACTACATTTTATCCAATCAACGATCCAGTTTAGTTACCCAAACGGCTCTTTTCGATCCGGTTCAGTTACGCAACTTTTGACTATCATCCAGAAGCTGTCAATCTCTCAGAAATTTGTCTCCAAAGCTCTAGTGACTTCCAGAACTACATTTTATCCAATCAGTGACCCGATTTAATTACCCAAACGTCTCTTTTGGATCCGGTTCAATTACGCGACTTTTGATCGAAGTTCGAACCAGCCGGGAGGGGTGGGTTTCGCTGGACAGCCGAACGCGTTAACTATTGCGCCACAGAGGATGTCGTCTGGATAGCTAGCTAGAGGTAGAAAGCTTTCCTGACATGGGAAAAAGTTTTTTGAGAATTAAGAGCTTGGGGCGGACTCGAACCAGCCAGTAGGGGCGGCTTTGCTTGACAGCCGAACGCGCTAACTATTGCGCCACGGAAGTTGGTCGTCTCAGCGGCTAGAAAGAGCTGTTAAACAATCGAAGTTTCTAAAAAATGAAAAAGTTCGACGCCAGGCGGACTCGAACCACCACCACCCCAACAGCCGATAGTTTGACAGCCAAGCCCGCTAACCATTACACCAGGAAGGCTTGTCTTTTGGTCGGCTAGAAAGCGCTTTTAAAAAAATCGAAGTTTCCAAAAGGAAAAGAAGCTCCAGGCTTCGGGTGGAGCCGAACCACCACCTCCCGAACGGCCGATAGTTTGACAGCCAAGCGCGCTAACCATTACACCACGGAGGCTTGCCAGTTCGTCGGCTAGAAAGCGCTCTTAAACAATCGGCTTCTTGATTTAGGCCTTATAAAAGACCAAAAAAGATCCAAATTTCAAGAAAATCACTTGTTTTTTGTTTAGAAACCCAATTTTTTGCCTCTATTTCTTTTCCAAGCTTTCCAAAATTTCAACTAAAACGCAGCAATGGTTTTTGGGAGATTCTTGAGCTTTCTAGGCATTTTGGAGCTTTCTAGGCTATTCTTGAGCTTTGTAGGCTATTCTGGAGCTTTCTAGGCTATTCTGAAGCTTTGTAGGCTATTCTTGAGCTTTGTAGGCTATTCTGGAGCTTTGTAGGCTATTCTTGAGCTTTCTAGGCTATTCTGGAGCTTTCTAGGCTATTCTTGAGCTTTGTAAGCTATTCTGGAGCTTTGTAGGCTATTCTTGAGCTTTCTAGGCTATTCTGGAGCTTTCTAGGCTATTCTTGAGCTTTGTAGGCTATTCTGGAGCTTTGTAGGCTATTCTTGAGCTTTCTAGGCTATTCTGAAGCTTTCTAGGCTATTCTTGAGCTTTGTAGGCTATTCTGGAGCTTTCTAGGCTATTCTTGAGCCTTCTAGGCTATTCTTGAGCTTTGTAGGCTATTCTGGAGCTTTCTAGGCTATTCTGGAGCTTTCTAGGCTATTCTGAAGCTTTCTAGGCTATTCTTGAGCTTTCTAGGCTTTCTAGGCCAAAATCTAGTCCATTTTCACTCAATTTTCCACGTAATTTGATGCGATTTAAGCTTTAAAAACAGGGAAAATTGATGAAAATTGATGAAAAACGCTGAAAAACGCTGAAAAACGCTAAAAGAACGAAATTTTCGTTGTTTAGACTTTTAAAATTGAAAAAATTAAGAAGAAAATAGGAAAACTGACAAGGAAATCGATTTCTTTTCGTTTCTTTTCGTTTCTTTTTGTTTCTGGTTCGTTTCTTTTTGTTTCATTCCTTTGTTTTTGCATTATTCACAAATTTTGCCATAAAAAAATCAAGAATTTAGAAAATATTAAAGAAAAAAATACGCTTAATTCGAGAATCGAAAAAAATCGAAAAAAAACGGACAACAAGAGAACGAAAGAAAGATTCTAATGAAAGAATTGCTTTTAGAAGATCGTAGGAAGATCTTCAGATGAAGATTTCCCCTCCGAGAAGGCTTTGGTTTTGATTTTCATTGCAATTTTCATTAATTGTAATACTAGAATTGAAAAATTCGCGATTTAGAGATTTTTAACAGCTTAATTGCCTTAAAAAAAGAGAAAAATAGCTATTTTTAACAGCTTAACCCAGAGAAAACTATCAATTTCCCCGAAAAGGAATTAGGATTGAGGGGAAAATGAAGGGATTTTAAAGCAAGAATGAATCGGTGCCTAGCAACACTCGATGGACACTCGACTGATGACAAAAAAGCCAAATTCTTCTGGTCAACTATTGCTTTTTTAGAGAGAAATGTGAAATCTGGAAGTCACTGGAGTTTTGGACACGAATTTCTGAGAGATTGACAGATTCTGGATGATAGTCAAAAGTTGTGTAACTGAACCGGACCGAAAAGAGCGTTTGGGTAACTAAACTGGAACGCTGATTGGATAAAATGTAGTTCTGGAAGTCACTGAAGCTTTGAAGACGAATTTCTGAAAGATTGACAGATTCTGGATGATAGTCAAAAGTTGCGTAATTGAACCGGACCCAAAAGAGCGGTTTGGGTAATTAAATCGGATCGCTGATTGGATAAAATGTGAAATCTGGAAGTCACTGAAGCTTTGAAGACGAATTTCTGAAAGATTGACAGCTTCTGGATGATAGTCAAAAGTTGCGTAATTGAACCGGATCGAAAAGAGCCGTTTGGGTAGCTAAACCGGATCGTTGATTGGATAAAATGTAGTTCTGGAAGTCACTAGAGCTTTGGAGACAAATTTCTGAGAGATTGACAGCTTCTAGATCATAGGCAAAAGTTGCGTAATTGAACCGGACCGAAAAGAGCCGTTTGGGTAACTAAACTGGAACGCTGATTGGATAAAATGTGAAATCTGGAAGTCACTGGAGCTTTGAAGACGAATTTCTGAAAGATTGACAGCTTCTAGATCATAGTCAAAAGTTGCGTAATTGAACCGGACCCAAAAGAGCGGTTTGGGTAATTAAATCGGATCGCTGATTGGATAAAATGTGTATTCTGGAAGTCACTGGAGAGGAATCTCTCGAAAAAGTTGCAAATTCTAAACAAAGAGAAAAAGTTGATTTTTTTATGGTATTGCGTAATTGAACCGGCTTAAAACATCGGTGATTGAACGAAATTTGACGAAAAAAACTTTATTTATTCAATCGATGGATAGCATTTTGCATTTTTAGAGAAGCCTCTGCCCCATAAATGTGTTATCAGTCGCCTTCACTCTGTGCTTGTTTGCGCTTTGTCTTTCGTTTTGTCGTTCTGTATCATTTAACATTTTAAAGCTTTGAAACTGATTGTGTAGCTTTGTCAAAATTTCAGAAAATCGAATCAAAGGCTTGACCTGACCAAACGATTTCTCTGTGCCAAAATAGTGACAGCACAAAGGAGTTCTCTGTGCGGCCCTGCAATCGCTCTCCATCTGGCACACGGCTCTAGCATTAGGCCTTCCCTTTCGGACCATAGCCGTCTCTCTTTTTTTAGGTGTCACTATTCGTCTCGTCCTGCCGATACCTCTCGCCTCAAACTCTTTTAGGTTTTTAGGAGAAAGATCAATTTGGATTGTGTGTAGCTGGCCGGAGGAACGATAAAATTCTCAGGATTTGACAAGAGTGATGATGACATGAAAAGAAATCGATGGCATTTCAAAGCCTCCTACAATAAAACTGCAATGGAGCTAGTTGAGCTGGATTTTGAATGCTTTGAATAATCAGGAAACCATTCTAAAATCTTTTAAAACTGGAATGGCTTTAAATAAAGATGAGGACCATTTGATTCACCGTTTCAACTGTTTATTCGATCTTTATAGGAATTTTGAAAGATTCTTGTATGGAAAAAGAAATCGACAACCTTCTAGAACCCTTCAGAATTTCAAAATTCCATTTGAAACTATTGCTTTGTTGGAAAGAAAAGAAAAAAAAGAATGCTTTAACTTGCTGAAGGCTTAGGCTTGTTGCTTTGAATACACTTTAATTACAGTATTTACAGAAAATCGGATCATAGGCTTGACCTAACCAATCGACGCTTGTGCCAAGCCATATACAATCTTGACTAAACCTGGAGATTCCTCATTGTTGCTTGTTGCTTAAACCTCTGCAATCCTCTGCAATCCTCTGCAATCCTCTGCAATCCTCTGCGATCCTCTGCAATCCTCTGCGATCCTCTGCGATCCTCTGCAATCCTCTGCGATCCTCTGCGATCCTCTGCGATCCTCTGCGATCCTCTGCAATCCTCTGCGATCCTCTGCGATCCTCTGCAATCCTCTGCGATCCTCTGCAATCCTCTGCGATCCTCTGCAATCCTCTGCAATCCTCTGCAATCCTCTGCAATCCTCTGCAATCCTCTGCAATCCTCTGCAATCCTCTGCAATCCTCTGCAATCCTCTGCAATCCTCTGCAATCCTCTGCAATCCTCTGCAATCCTCTGCAATCCTCTGCAATCCTCTGCAATCCTCTGCAATCCTCTGCAATCCTCTGCAATCCTCTGCAATCCTCTGCAATCCTCTGCAATCCTCTGCAATCCTCTGCAATCCTCTGCAATCCTCTGCAATCCTCTGCGATCCTCTGCAATCCTCTGCGATCCTCTGCGATCCTCTGCAATCCTCTGCAATCCTCTGCAATCCTCTGCAATCCTCTGCAATCCCATAGCCAACATTTCCCCTCTAGGCATCATCAACCCAAACCAAACAATCGACGAATTCATCCCAACAAACCCTTCAACCTTTCTGGTGTTAACGAATCGGGTGATTCGATGATTCGATGTGAAAAAAGTGCCGGATTGCCACTGGACCAAGACTGGGCTTGTATTTGACGAGGATACTGGACTGATACGAATTAGAGATCTAGAATAAACATTCGTAATTTGCAGTATTTTTAAATGATGTTGATGCAAGATGGCCGAGTGGTTAGTGAGCTTCGCTAGCGCTCTGAGGGTCAAATTACCAGTCAAACCAGTAACAGTCGAATTACCACCATCTTGCAAGCTTGTAGGCGTTTCAGGAGCTTGTAGGCGTTTCAGGAGCTTGGTAGGCGTTTCAGGAGCTTCTAGGTTTGTAGGCGTCTCTATGGTGGCAAATAAAATGGCCTTTAAAGGATGTCAAATGTTTGCCAGGTTTGTCAAGCTCTTTCTTCAAGGAGTTGACTCTTTCTATAGGGTTTTGGAACAAGCTCCATATAGAGCAAGTCCTTAAGAACGCTTCATATAGAATAATCCATTGGATTGAGGTCCAGAGAGTTGAATTCAATAAAATCAAGAAAGTTGTTCAAGTACCAACTCTCAACAACCCTCGCTTTGTGTTCCTTCTTGCTGATAATCGTTTTGCTGATCCAAGTCCGTCTTCTGAAGTGGTTCTGTGAACAGCTGATTGACTGAACGGCTCAGGAAAACAGCTGATTCTTGAGAAGAAGCGGGTTATTCTTATTCTAGGTCTAATTCTAGGTCTCTTCTTATTCTAATCTTAACTATTGACTTTAACGCCTTGTGGTACAAGCCAAAGAGCTGTTTTTCCATCCGCTGTCACTCCAACTGAATTGGAAAGAGAAAATAAACATGTGAATGTAGATTGGAAACAGAAACAGAAAGAAATGTGGATAAAAAGCAGCATTTAATTAATCATTTGGCTTATTAAGAACTTGGTAAACAGTTTTTTTTATGAGTAAAGCCGATGAGCAATGAGTTTGTCCAAGAAAACGATCCAGAAAGTCTTGGCTTCGGTCTGCTGATAAGCTGGGCTGGGCTGAGCTAGGCTGAGCTGAGCTAGGCTGAGCTGAGCTGATCTGAGCTGGGCTTTAAGCTCTCCTTTAAGCTCTCCTTTAATCTCTCCTATAAGCTCTCCTATAAGTTCTCCTTTAATCTCTCCTATAAGCTCTCCTATAAGCTCTCCTTTAAGCTCTCCTTTAAGCTCTCCTTTAAGCTCTCCTTATAAGCTCTCCTATAAGCTTTTTTTTCAGCTACTGAACTTGAAAATAAAATTGAACAATAAACGAAGAGACAAAACAGTTTTCGTCTTCCTATTGACAAGCAAGCTGAAAAGGTGTAGACACGCGACAAGTTGGGGCGTTTGTTTATCTGTTTGAGTGTTGTACCCTTCTTTTCTTTGTGAAGAGGCTTCAATTTCACTCACAGTTTGACCAAACGATCGATCGGTTGTCCACCGTTGCTCAAAAACCTCAATTTCCTTACTTTATCCCATTCATTTCTATGTTTTTCTGCCTTTTTTATGCCTTTTCTTTGTAAATAAACAATTTCTGAATGATATTTAGCTAAATGTCTAAATCGACATTGATGATTCTTCTCTTTGCAACAATTCTATTCGTTTTGATGGGGAAAAGGATCGGGAATTATCAAGAAATCATTGAGAGAATTGAAGCTAGACAAAGTGGATTGGTAAGGTAGAATATCGACAAACAAAGATAGTCAAATTTGATCTTTTAGCAATCAATCGATCCAGTAATTCTGACGCTTTCAAACGAAACTCAGCCACAGGAAAATGATTCAATGAATGAAACAATGCATCGGGTAGACTTTTAGAGTTTAGAATCGTCTTTGAACGTCTTTGAAGGGCTTTAAAGGTCTTTGAACGTCTTTGTAGGTCTTTGAATCGTCTTTAAATCGTCTTTGAACCTCTTTGAACCTCTTTGAATCATTTGATTTCAGTTCTATCGCCCTTTCCGCTTCTCAATCACTCCCAAAGAGCCATGCCCGTCAGGAATCGATGTGAGTCAAATAGTTGTCAAATAGTTGTCAAATAGTTATCAAATAGTCAATTAGTTGTCATCATTAGACTCTGTGCGCTCCAGAATGAGTAAACGTACCCTTTCTGGTGGGCTTTTTCACTGGGGAATTGTCTAAAGGCGTCAGAATTGATCGACGATCGTTGTCGATCGTTGATCTCGGACTCTAAGGACCCTATGACAAGGAGTCTAAGGACCCTAGGACCCTAGGACGCAAGGACGCAAAGATAAACCGCAAAGATAAGAACTGGGTAACCGAAATTGGTTTTGCTGATATCCAGATCAGACAAACAGCTTTGGATTAGCTGCTCAACTTATACTAGTAATGAGAAAATTCGTTGTTAAGCTAATTTCAGTCTTCTTTGGCGTTTTTCAGACTTTCAAACGATCTTTATCGCTTTTCAGACTCTCTTTATCGTTCACACCTCAATCGCGAATCATAAGCGACGAGCAGCGATACGAGAAACGTATGCCAATGACTATTGGGAGAAAAAGGTTAAAAAAATTGCTTTTATTCCTATTCTACTAAGAAAATTGGTTGCTTCTTTTCTTTCAATCTTCTCTTCCACTTGTATTCCCTCTTTTCTCTCTCGTCCAGGATGGCTCAGTGGTCCAGGATGTCAGTGGTTAGAGCACATGTCCCGGAAGCTTGACCCTGACCTTCCTGCCCCAAAAGGAAAGAAGGTCAAGGGTTCAATCCATTAGACATTTGACTTTTCCATTCCATTCCTTACTTTTTCATTCCTTTCTTTACTTTGCCATTCCTTTCTTACCATTAAATTCACAAAAATCTATGTCTAATTTGAATAGAAATAAGCTTTGATTGATTCGAATATCGAGCTTTGATTTTAGTACGAATATCGAACGATTTTTGTAGTTGGTCGGAGTAAAGATGAGGAAAAGGAAAGATGGATAAAAGGAGAAGCGAGACAATATCGAGATATTCTACAAATCGATTACATTGATGCTTATCGAAATATGACAATAAAGGTTAGTAAAAGGATTCAATTAAGATCAATTGACTGACTGACTCAATTGCGTAAATGAGCCAAACGCCAAATGAACGTACATGAACCAAACGCCGAAGAACCAAACGTCAAATGAACGTAAATGAACCAAAGGAACGTAAACGAACCAAAGGAACGTAGATGAAGCAAATGAACGTAAATGAACCAAACCAAACTTGGGGCTGAATGGTTGCAGAATTTTCCTTGATGACGTCATCACCAAGGCCTTCGTTTTCTAGATCTGAATCAATAGAAGAAATACTAGAATAGAAATAATCTCCAGGATTTCCTCTAGACGTCACTTCTCTGACTCCAATGAGCATCCATTTGTCATCGTATTCTTGAAGCTGCTCTTGAATCTCTTGAATCTCTTGAATCTCTTGAATGAGCCGAAGGGCCGAGTGAGACGTCAGCAGGCTAAACCATTTCCATTGTGAACAATAGCTGTATAAAGTTTCCTGGAACAATTGCTGTTTGGACAATTGCTGTTTCAACAATTGCTTTTTTAACAATCGCTGAAGTTTGAGCTGTTTCAAGGCGCGTTTTTTCTTTCGTCATTTATGGAGTCTCCATTGCAAGAAGGCATTTTTGAGTTTGCACGATTGTAACCGACGTCCATCAGACAATCACCAGAAAAGACTTCTTGCCTTTGACTTCTTGTTTACAAGGCTTTTTGTTTCTTGTGGTTTCAAGGTTTCTCCTTGCATTTAGCACTCATCCTGCTTCTCAATTGTACGAATTTGGCCCTCACTGACGTGACGTAGACGCCATAAATTTTGCTTAACAATCAATGACAATGCTATCAATTGCAGCGGATCAACAAAAGACTACTTTCCACAGAATAACATGGATGTCTTGGACTGACCCGCATGCTCGCGTGATTTGAGCCCGATAGAAAGAAGCATTGGGGCTACAATTGCTGTATTTACTGTAATTATTAGAGTTATTAGAGTTGATATTAGAGTCTTATATTAAATACTGAATTGAGTAATTAAACCGGATTTGTGGCTAATTGCAGAAACTGTTTGAATAGCTTTTTTCCGAAATTTCCTATCGTTTCGAATCCGGTTTAGTTATCAAATTGTGAACAAAAGAAAGCTGATAATGAATAAGATAAAGCAAAGACAGCAAAGACAGCAAAGACAAGCTGTTAGCAAAGACAAATTGCGTAAATGAACCGAACTATTCAGCCAAATTCAGCCGCTTAATTGGTTCATTCGGTTCATTCGGTTCATTCAGTTCATTCGGTTCATTCGGTTGATTCGGTTGATTCGGTTCATTCGATTCATTCGCTTCCTCCGGTTCCTCCGGCTACTCCGGTTCCTCCGGTTCATTCAGTTCATTCGGTTCATTCGATTCATTCGGTTCATTCAGTTCAATCGGTTCATTCAGTTCATTCGGTTCATTTGGTCCATTCGGTTCATTCGGTTCATTCGATTCATTTGATTCATTCAGTTCATTCAGTTCATTCGGTTCCTCCGATTCCTCCGATTCCTCCAGCTTCTCCAGTAACCCAAATCAAATCAATTCCCCCCATTTAGTTTCTCAATTGGATGCGTTTCGTTCGTGATGATTGCCCGCGAGTGAAAATGATTGTCAAAATGGATGGTTGGCTAAAGAAATTTCTTGATTTGAAAGGAATTTGAAAGCAAATTTCGAAATTTTGAAAAAATCCCATTTTCAGACGACATTCTCCCAAATATTCACTGGATTTTCGACGATTTTCACAATGGGACAATGATTTCGGAAGAAAACACGTTCACCTGCTTAGAATATCACAGTCCAGTCGTTAGGGAAAAAGGATCGCCTTGGTGAGTGAGGAAAAGGAAGTGAGGAAGTGGATTAGTTACCCAAGTGGTCAAGTACCCTTTCTAAAATGCCTCAAACGTCTCCAAACCTCATTTTTTTAAACGTAATTTATATTGTGACATCCAATTTGAAGAAATGTAAGATTTCAAGGGAAACGGCTTTTAAATAATAGTGAAAATTTAGAGCCAAGATTACCGTCAGATAAATTTCTGAAAAGCTTTAATAGAGCTTTAGAACGCTTTAGAAAGTGTTTGTGCGTTCCAGATCACTGAAAAATTATGTCAAAAAAGTGAGAGGCGCTCTAGAAAACGAGTTATTCAAGTCTAGCCGAGTTCAGTTGATTTCCAAAGTTTTGGCAAGACTTTTCAAGTCACTGACAAGTTTTTCATAAGTTCTGGAAGGCACTTGAAAAATCTAGAAAAAGAAAAAATCGATTTAGAGATTTTGGAGAAAATCAAATTCCGGTTCGGTTCATTTACGCGATTTCACTTAAGATTTCGCGATTTCCACTAATGGCCTTTTATGCTCAATCTGTGCGCTAGAAAGGGTGTGTTTACGCTGGATTACTGCTTTTTTAGGTACGTCTCTAAAGAGGCTCATCCGAGCGACGATTGGGAAGCTTTCTGTTGTGGACCGGCTTTTATCATGGTTGGCTTTTCCAAACTTTTCCAAATCCATTCAATCTCAAATCCATTCTTTCAGTCAGCCGACCTGATATCCAGATTGGTGAAAAATATTGAAAACAAGCAATTTTATACTTCGGTTTGTTTCCAAATTTGCCCAAACTCGTTTCGAGCTATCATAGAGAAAAATTTTAAGCCGACTCTCGGATTTTTCTAGTCATTTCTATGTTGTGCGCTCCAGATCGCCGATTGACTCAAATTCAGGTCGATGACGCCTTTGTAACGGGTCAAATCGCGAAGGAGATCGCAGCGAAGCACGATTTTCGGCTATACGAGCACAAGTTTGTTTAAAAAGCGGGAAATCTCGTTGCATTTCTGGCTAATCTTGGATCAATTCCAATCCTGAATCCAATTCCCATCCATTTTTAGCTTTCTGTGGCCCGGCTGGCCTGGGTGGGAGAAAATCGTCGAGAGGAAGATGCTGGCGTGGAAAGTGATTTTTGGTAAGTGGGGAAAATTAGTTAATTTCTCTAAGCAGGGTACTCCGTGCATTCCAGGATTCATGAATTCAAAAGATTAGGCTAGAAATATCAGCTAACTTTTGAGATATTCAGCCATTCTTATACCTTAGATGCACTTTGTAGCAAAGTGGAAACGTTTGGGTTTTTTTGAAACCAGGGGACCCTGTGCCTTCCAGGATTTATGAATTCAAAAGATTACTCTAGAAAAAACAGCTAACTTTTGAGATATTCAGCCATTCTTATACCTTATATGCACTTTGTAGCAAAGTGGAAATGCTTGCGTTTTTTTGGAACCAGGGTACCCAGTGTCTTCCAGGATTTACGAAATAATCAAAATTTCCATCAAAAGCCACCTAATTCACGAGGAATCACTGTCCTCTAGATTTAGCTGATATCTTTTTTGTGCTCACAGTAAACGCACTGTCTCTGGCGCGCTCTATGTCGGTTTTATTGTGGTTTTCAGGGGCTTACACAACGACGACAGCGATGAAGCGAATTTTCGATGAGTTGTCCCATTTGAGTGGAGCTGTTACCGATCCACCCGATGATCTCCCCTGGTCGAATAAAGTTGGACCAAAAAATTTCGAATAGAACCCTTTGTTTTGTCGTTTAAATGTTTCAGATCTCGGAGATACGGATTTTCAAATAAATAGGCTGTGATTTGGTTTTGAAAAAGGTTTTAGGTTCACTTGAGGGAAAATATCAAAAACAATTACCTAAAAAAACCAATATCTTTAAAAAAGCAACAAATCAGCAATCAGCCCCTGAGCAATTACTTGAAATAGAGCTTGGAATAGAGATGAAATAGACTTGAAATAGAATTGAAATAGGGCTTGGAATAGTGCTTGGAATAGACATGGAATAGAGCTTGAAATAGAATTGAAATGTACTTGGAATAGACTTGAAATAGAGCTTGGAATAGACTTGAAATAGACTTGAAATAGGGCTTGGAATAGTGCTTGGAATAGAGCTTGAAATAGACTTGGAATAGACTTGAAATAGAGCTTGGAATAGACTTGGAATAAAGCTTGGAATAGAGTTTGAAATAGACTTGGAATAGAGATGAAATAGAATTGAAATAGAGCTTGAAATAGAGCTTGAAATAGAGCTTGAAATAGACTTGGAATAGACCTGAAATAGACTTGAAATAGGCCTTGAAATAGACCTTGAAATAGACTTGAAATAGATCTAAAACTCAAAAACGAGGTTATCAATATCAACGAGGTTTTGATCCACAGTTTGCCAAGTATCGACAATCGCTTTTCTTGAGTGAATTCACGTCTTTATATTGCTTGTTGTTTGCTGTTGTTGGTTGCTTGTTGTTGGCGTCTTTATATGGCTTGTTGTTATGTAAATTGTTGTTATTTTGCGAACCATGTATCCCCATACGTTTCCTTGTGGATTGAGATCGGATGAGTTGACTGGCCAATCCGAAAAAACGGCCAGTCCAGTCGCTTTTGTCAAAGCAATTTCTTTGTGCTTCGACTGGCATGAATTAGCGCATTGTCCTGCATAAATACCAAGTTCCGGCCTTGATTTTGGCGCCAAAATAGTAAAAGAGATCGACGAAGCACAAATTGATATTGCCATGAATTCATCTTCTTCGAAACTAAATGCTCAATAGATTAACGATTATTTTAGCAAGCTTTAATTCTAGTCTAATCTCATGTAAAGTACATGTGTAAGCAGCTTTAAAGTGGTTACTTTAACCACTTCAAAGCTGCTTACACTTGAAAATGAAATTTTCAAGGCAATATGAAGCTTGAAACATGTTGTAAATGCTCTAAAGTATAAGCACATTTGATTACCATCTGAAATCGAGATTTTCGGAGATAAGGCCGGGTTTTTCTTGGTTTTTCCTCGATTCTGGAGGTCAGTATGGAAAATAAACCTGTGAGTTCAAATCGATGAGATCCTGGTGAGCGATGGGTGGTCCGACGCGGAATGTCTCGCGCACCACCGGACGCATTTCTTTCGACGACTCGGACTGAATGTTCGGTTTTTGGATGATCTGGATGTCACAAATAAAGATGCTGTAGAGTTTGATAGGGTTTTCTTATAATCTACCAGACCCGACTTTTCTTGGCTCTAGATTCAGAGCTCTAGCGTGACCTTGCCCTACTCTGGAACCTAGACCTTGCCTGTTCTGGCTCTGCCTTGGCAGACTGATTGGCCAATTGATTCTAGCCCTGATTTTGGTCTGTTCAAACAAGGTCTGACCGCAGAACTGATTCTAAGAAATCTAGAATGACTTGATCTGACTGATTCCATTTCTTGATTCAATTCTGACCCACCAGATCAGCCAATCAGCTTGTCCCAAAGCTCAGATCCAGCCCAGTTTTGCCTAACTATTGAAATTGTACATCCCAACCAAGATAATTAAGCTCAAAGTCGGATTGCCAATGGCAAAAGGAGCGAGCGTTCCTTTTATACGTGCCCCGCCTCTTTTTTGGCATTCCAACTTTGAGCTCAAATATCTCGGCTTTGGGTTGCCCAATTTCAATACTTTTTATACCAATCGATAGAGAAAGACTTGGCGAATCTAGTGATATTAAGAAGATTGAGTTTGGACAGCCCAAAGCCGAGATATTTGAGCTCAAAGTTGGAGTGGCAAAGAGCAAAGTGGCAAAGGGGGCGGAACACGTGACCGATAACTAACTGGAGATGCTTTCCCCATTCTTTAAATCCATTTGCTTTCCCCATTTGAACCAACCTAATGACTATCGATGTGCTTTTGCGTGCTCGAGTGGTACTCGGTGTGATTGTTGGACGGCTGAAAGAGTTGAAATGAAAGTTGAAATATGTATTTCAATTTGAATGCAAAAATGGGAACTTTTGGCAGCTTTCGATACGCTTTCGATAGCTTTTAAAAAAGTGGCTTCTGGGTTTGTTGAAAAAGTTGGCTAGATTTTTGCATATTCACACTGCTTTAGCGTTGCCAATCGATGTGATAACTAAAAGTAAGTTAGATTCCTATTGACGTGCGGTTTGGCGCGAAAGCGGCACGAGCGCGCTTTCTAATGCGTGGATGCGCTACCGTACCCCGCACAAAATTCCCCGTTTTGCCATTCTTTTCATTTTCCTTCATTCCATGATGGAGTCGGAAAGTTTTTCCGGCTTTTATGCCGAGGTTTTTAAGTTTTAAGTATTAAGTTTTAGTTTTCTTCTCCCCGCATAAAATCTATTATGTTTTTGTAGCGCGTTTTTAAATTACTCCCTCCCTCCCCTCGTTCGTTTCTTCCTTGCTATATTGTTTGCCCATAGTTTATTGTTTAAAATACTAATACGGTGTTATTTCGTTTTTTTTCGGCTCCTTTCACTCCATTGTTTTGAATCCGTTCATAAATGCCGTTTAAACTCAACTTAACCAATTGCTTTTAACTAAAACGCGAATCGAAATAATCTGCGGTACTTTGGTGATTGGGAGGGGCGATTTTTATCCTGGCTTAGTTGGATCTAATGTTTTGAGTGGTTGTATTGTTACCCTTTTACCTTTACCCTTTTACCTTTGCTCGTTTATCTTTACCCTTTTACCCTTAGCCTTTTACTTTTACCCTATTACCTTTACCCTTTTACCTTTACCCTTTTACCTTTACCCTTTTACCTTTACCCTTTTACCTTTACCCTTTTACCTTTACCCTTTAACCTTTACCCTTTTACCTTTACCCTATTGTTACCCTTTTATCTACCTATTCTAGGGTAATCAAGTATGCTTATACTTTTAGTATCAAGTAATCAAGTAAAGTATGCTTACACTTTTAGAGCATGTTACAAGTAATCAAATAAGCTTATACTTATACCTTATACGACATGTTTCAAGTTTCATATTACCGTTTTTCTTTTTTTATTTTCAAGTATAAGCAGCTTTGAGGTAGCGTTTAGTGGTTAAAGTACACGAGCTTAGGCTAGAATTGCTGCCAAAAACTGCCAAAAACTTCCTAAAATAGTCACCAATCTATTAAGCATATTTGATTACCGTAGAATAGATAAAACTTTTCACTACAACCACTTTGGTTGTAGATAGAACCAGCCTTAGATTCAACTAAGCCAGGATAAAAGTGGCCCCTTTCAACCACCAAAGTACCAAATTATGTATTAGGTACCTAACTTTAATATTTTTTTTCAACTCGAGCTGACAGTTAGATTTCACGGTGTTTCAACAACAAAAATTTCTTTAAAAATATGAGCCGCTTGCTATGAATCCATTGACAACAATGCTCTAATAGCGATAACTACTTTGTTAACCTATGTTAACAAAGTAGTTATTGCTATTAGAGCATCATTGTCCTTTATTTAATTTTCTTTTTTATGCATCAGCATTAATTTATATTAATTTAGCTGGAGAGAAAGGCGGAGTCGAATAAAACCAGGGTCTATTAATAATTTTACAAAAAATTTTTACAATTTTAGATGGGCTTCTGGAGCGACGCTGCAGAGGTACTCGAATGGGTCGAGATTGGAGTGTCAGGCCTTGCAGGATTCGAGAAGAGTTCTGGACGAGGAAAGTTCGAAACCCAGGTGTGTTATTCGTTATTAAACAACTATGATAATTATTGTTTTTAATTTTAGATGGGCTTCTGGAGCGACGCTGAAGAGGTTCTCGAATGGGCCGGGATTGTAACGTCATTCTTTGCAGGCTTCGAGAATAGTTCTGGATCAACCAAGGTGTGTTATTCGTTATTACTATGATCAACTATGATAATTATTGTTAGTAGAATTATTACGGGTGCTATAGTAATTGGGTGGACCAGTGTACATTCTCTATTGAGCCAGAACGCACTAATTTTTGCTTCAAAGAAGCCTCTTCTTAAGTGCCATTGGTTTTAATAGCGCAGATTCTTGATTTGGTGTTTATTTAAGTGTTAGCAAATGTTTTCTAGCTATTTCGAGCAGTTACCGAGGTTTTAAGCCTTTTAATTCGATCCCGCACCCAGTGGAAATAAAGCCACCCTTGAAGGCGCGAAATTGTTGCTCAAACTGGCATAAAAGTTGTTCAGAATTGTTTATAAATGCTTCTAAATACTTCTAAATACTTCTAAGTGATTGTGATTCAATCTTTTTAGGTTGAGTCGGAGCGTTGCGAGTCAAATGATCTCAGCAAAAGTTCGGTGTAAAAGCTGCTGCCGTGGTGATACCACCTGTGGCTGACTTATTTATGGTAAGTTTCATGATGGATTTAAGCTGTTTCTACTTAACCAATTTCAAAGCATTCATTTTAGTCACCAAAAACAGCCAAAACTTGGTCAAAGGTTGGAAAAGTTTTCTCTTTCCCCTATTGCTGTTTTGTACGTTTTTTGTTTTCAGCTTGCTACTTTACATTCGACATGCATTATTTTGTTAAGTTGACTACGTTGAGATGTAATTTCTTCTTATAAACCTCCTCTTGTTTTACCCCAATTTGTTACTGATTTCATATTTTTACAATTTTAATATCCAATATCGTTTTGTTTTAGAATAAAAAATTTTTTACAAATTAAAATTCTTTGAAAAATGAAGTTACAAGCAACATCTAGGGTTTTGCTTTGAAGTTTTCTTAGGCTTAGGCCAAATCACAGCACCTCTTTTACTCCTGGTCGTTTAGAAAGGTTTTTATTGAAAATTCCGAGGAGTTTTAATTCAAATTTGTGAATTGTAACTGATTTTTTTTTGAACCAACCTGATGACTATCGACGTGCGTTTGCGTGCTCGAGTGGTACTCGGTGTGATCGTTGGACGGCTGAAAGAGTTGAAATGAAAGTTGAAATATGTATTTCAATTTGAATGCACAATGGAAACTTTTGGCAGCTTTCAGCCAGCTGGCAGTCAGCTTTAGCTTTTAAAAACGTGGCTTCTGGGTTTGTTGAAAAAGTTGGCTAAATTTTTGCATATTCACACTGCTTTAGCGTTGCTAATCGATGTGCTAGCCAAAAATAAGTTAGATTCCTATTGACGCGCGGTTTGGCACGAAAGTGGCGCGGGCGCGCTTTCTAATGCGTGGATGCGCTACCGTACCCCGCAAAAAGCAGAAAAAATTCCCCGTTTTGCCATTCCTTTCATTTTCCTTGATTCCACGATTCGTATTTCCTTGCTTCGTAAAGTTTTTCCGGCTTTTATGCCGAGGTTTTTAAGTTTTAATTTTTCTTCTCCCCGCATAAAATCTATTATGTTTTTGAGCGCGTTTTTAAATTGCTCTCTCCCTCTCCTCGTTTTTTAGATGCTTAATAGATTACTGACTATTTTAGCAATTTTTTGAGAATTCTAGTCTAATCTCATGTACTTTATTGTTGCTTTGCTCATAGTTTTTGTTTAGAACTCTGATACGGTAATATTCTAATCTATTTCGTTTTTCTCGGCTCCTTTCACTCCATTGTTTTGAATCCGTTCACACATGCCGTCTAAACTTAACTTAACCAATTCCTTTTAACTAAAACGCAAATCGAAATAATCTGCGGTACTTTGGTGATTGGGAGAGAACATTTTTATCCTGGCTTAGTTGGATCTAATGTTTGGAGTGGTTGTATTGTTACCCTTTACGTTTTGACCTTTACGCTTTTACCTTTACGCTTTTACTTTTACCCTTTTACTTTTACCCTATTACCTTTACTGTTTTACCTTTACTCTTTTACCTTTACTCTTTTACCTTTACCCTATTGCTACCCTTTTATCTACCTATTCTAGGGTAATCAAGTATGCTTATACTTTTAGAGTATGTTTCAATTAATCAAATAAGCTTATACTTATAGCTTATACAACATGTTTCAAGTTTCATATTACCCTGTTTTTATTTTCGAGTGTAAGCAGCTTTGAGGTTTAGTGGTTAAAGTACGTGAGATTAGGCTAGAATTGCTGCCAAAGCTGCCAAAAACTTGCTAAAATAGTCCCCAATCTATTAAGCATATTTGATTACCGTAGAATAGATAAAAGGTTTCACTACAACCACTTTGGTTGTAGATAGAACCAGCCTTAGATTCAACTAAGCCAGGAAAAAAGTGGCCCCTTCCAACCACCAAAGTACCGAATTATGTATTGGGTGCCGAACTTTAATATTTTTAACTTTAATAAAGGCGGAGTCGAATAAAACGAGGTTCTATTTATAATTTTACAAAAACTTTTACAATTTTAGATGGGCTTCTGGAGCGACGCTGGAGAGGTGCTCGAATGGGCCGAGATTGGAGTGTCATGCTTTGCAGGCTTCGAGAAGAGTTCTGGACGAGGAAAGTTCGAAACCAAGGTATGATATTCGTTATTAAACAACTATGGTAATTATTGTTAGTAGAATTATTACGGGTGCTATAGTAATTGGGTGGACCAGTGTGCATTCATCTCTATTGAGCCAGAACGCACTAATTTTTGCTTCAAAGAAGCCTCTTCTTAAGTGCCATTGGTTTTAATAACGCAGATTCTTGATTTGGTGTTTATTTAAGCGTTAGCAAATGTTTTCTAGCTATTTCGAGCAGTTACCTAGGTTTTAAGCCTTTTAATTCGATCCTGCACCTCTTGCCACTCTTGAAGGCGCGAAATTGTTGCTCAAACTGGCATAAAAGTTGTTCAGAATTGTTTATAAATGCTTATAAATGCTTATCAATACTTCTAAATACTTCTAGATACTTCTAAGTACTTCTAAAGACTTCTAAATACTTCTAAATACTTCCAATGGATTCAATGCAATTAATTACCCTAGAAAGAGCTTTTAAAACTAGTCGCAAGTTCGAAAAAACCGGCTTTTACAAACTGGCCTCTTTCAACTACTATAGCACCTTATTACAAAACATGTACCATATGTGCTTAAATAGATGTTTTCTATGTATTGTAATTTATTGTTAATTGTTTAGCTCAACCGAGATATTAAGGAGATGGCAAGGAAAGTGAAAGGTAAGCTCGTATTTTTTCTTTTCGGAAAGTTTACCGTAGATTATTTTGAAGGTGGCGCGGATGGCATTGAAGAATTGAAGAAATTGCTTGAAGAGGCAAATGATTCTGTGAGTTTTCTTTCAACTACTATAGCACTTTATTACAAAACATGTATCATATGTGCTTAAATAGATGTTTTCTGTGTATTGTAATTTATTGTTAGTTGTTTAGCGCAACCGAAATTTTGAGGAGATGGAAAGGAAAGTGAAAGGTGAGCTCGTATTTTTTCTTTTTGTAAAGTTAAACGCTTTACCGTAGATTGTTTGAAATGTGTCTGGAGGGAAAAAGTCATTGAAGATGGAGCAGAGAAGTTTTTTGTGAGTTTTCTGCTGCAATTAAGTGCTAACTATATGTTTTTACAAAGCTAAGCTACCAGATGTAGAGGGGGGACAAACTAACACCTTTGGAAGATACAAAAAACAAATTTTCTTAAATTCTCTTTGGTCATAACCTGTTTTCCGTAATTAATTTTTATTCAATCTTTTTAGGCTGAGTCGAAGTGTAGGGAGCCAAAGGATGCCATCAAGTTCTTTGGAAAAACCGCTGCCTCCGCGATACCACGTGTGGCTAATTTATTTATGGTAAGTTTCATGATGGATTTAAGCTGTTTCTACTTAACCAATTTCAAAGCATTCATTTTAGTCACCAAAAACAGCCAAAATTTTGTCAAAGGTTGGAAAAGTTGCTGGTTTCGTTGGCCCTCTGATTTCATTTGGAAAGAATTTTTGTGCCAATATGGAGGAGTTTAAAGATGTGAGTTTTCTTTAGCTTGTAGCTTTAAATTTATGCATGTTCAGGATGGTGCCGTATGTAGTGTCGGAAAGGCGGGCACTAATGCTGCTTGCCAAACTGGAGGAGCAATAGCAGGTACTTTTTCAAATCAATGCTTGGCGCAGTTGAAAGGTGAAACTTATAAAATTGAAATTGTTTAGGTGGATGGATTGGAGGAGTTCTCGGTTCTGCCGTGCCTGTTGTCGGAAACGCGATCGGTGCAGCTGTAGGCACAATCATCGGCGAAAAAATCGGTGGTGCGGTGTTTGACTTGATCACGAAGCCAGTGGAAACTATCAAGAAAGCCTGGGGATGGGTCAAGTCTTGGTTTTAAACGGTATGGCATCTCTAGAGTTTAGGTTTCTAAAGTTCAATCTCTAAAGTTTTATTCTCAAATTTGTTACCTCTTTTTACCTCAAAATTGATCTTACACGTGCACATAGTACCTATTTCTAATTTTATATCGTCGATCTCTTGGAAACAGCTTTCACACGTACCCACATTGCACTTCTCTTTCTCCCATTGCTGCTTTGTACGTTTTTTGTTTTCGGCTTGCTATTTTGCATTCGACATGCATTGTTTTGTTAAGTTGACTATGTTGAAATGTAATTTCTTCTTATAAACCCCCTCTTGTTATACCCCAATTTGTTACTGTTCTCATATTTTTACAATTTATTATTCAATTTTGTTACAATTTTAATATTTGTTTTAGAATAAATCATCAAAATTCTTTGAAAAATCAAGTTACTTCAATCCACAAGCAACATCTCGAATCGATACATTTTGTCGGCCTCTTCTATCTATCTATTTAACTGTATAACTGATACTTACAAGGGAAAGAGCTCTTTTTACCCGCTTAGCCTTGTCGAAGATACATGTTTGTGAAAATGGGATTTTTTTTAGACTTCAAAGCGCCTGCTGACATCCAGATCGATGAAAAGTTGAATCAGAATCGAAAAATCCCCCGTTTGCTGTCAAGATTTTCACTCGTACTCGAAATTGGGTGAACCGATTTTTGTGGAAATCGTTTCCGTCAAAAGTTTCATTGCAAAAAGCTTGTGTGCCATCCAGAATTGGGTTTCCGCTTTTAAAAAGCTGCATTTCCAGAACAGTGACCCCAAAAACCCTGCCGTACACCGCGTACACTCAGACGGCCTTTCACAAGTTCGTGAAAATGGGATTTTTTTGAGTTCAAAGCGCTTGGTGACATCCAGATTGATGAAAAGTTAAATCAGAATTGAAAAATCTTGCTTGACTGCCGAGATTTTCACTCGTACTAAAATTGGGTAAATCGATTTTTGTGGAAATCGTTTCCGTCAAAAGTTTCATGGCAAAAAGCTTGTGTGACATCCAGAATTGGGATTCCATTTGTAAAAAGCTGTAAGAACAAACAGAAAAAGAACGTTTTTAAAAAGTTGTTCTTTGATCGAATTTTGTCGCAATAATAAGAAATAAAAGATCGTATTTAACTGTATCATTTACAAGGGAAGGCCAACTGGATGGCCAAATCCGATTCGATGTAGAATTTCACGCTGATCATGATGCTGCTTTTCTTTTTTTGCTATGGAACACTCTGTTAAAAGTTATATGCTTTGTAAAGCTGTGCTTTAAAGTTTTGTAAAGAGTTTCAAAAAAGCAAACTAGCAAACTTGTACTCTTGAATATTTACTTTATTTTTACGCTTTTTTTCACAGCTTTTTTCAAGTCACAGCTTTCAATTTTTAATTGATATTTGCTTTAGATCATGGTGGATCAAAAGTCTGTTGTGCGCGCGTGTCTTCTCGACGATTTCTTCTTCCATCCTCTCTACGAGGGACAAAAACGCTGCCGAATCACATCGTGATCTCTATTCCACTTTTGGAGAACAAGTTATGACCAAAAGATCATGCCAGCGCTGGTTTGCCCGATTCCGGGAAGGTATTGAATCTCTTGAAGACGAATCACATGGACATCGCTCGGCAACGATCGATAAGAATGAATTGGAACAACTTGTTGAAGCCGATCCAATGCAAACAAGACGAGAGCTTGCCAAACATCTCCAATGTGATCAATCAACAATTGTCTGTCATTTGGAAATAAGCGGAAAGGCCAATCGTAATGGACGATCGGTTCCACATCAATTGAACACCGAGAATCTAGGAGCACACGTTTCGATCAGCCATATCTTGCTTCTCAAGTCGAAAAGAACGATTTCAAGATGGGCAAAAACGCTGCCGAATCACATCGTGATCTCTATTCGACTTTTGGAGAACAAGTTATGGCCAAAAGATCATGCCAGCTCTGGTTTGCCCGATTCCGGGAAGGTATTGAATCTCTTGAAGACGAATCACATGGACATCGCTCGGCAACAAACGCTTAGATCTCGACACTAGTACGTTTGTTTCTCCGCGCTTAGGCATCAAATTAAAGTAGAGAGAATGGGTGATTTTTTGAGATATAACACATATTTTTAACATTAACCAGCGCTTAGAACAAAATGATTGAAAATCGACTCTTTTTTGCCACTTTTTGCCACAGACACTAGACATGAGCCGTGAGTCGAGTCGAGTCAGAGGTCCTCGACTCGTGACTCGTGACTTGTGACTCAACTTGACTCGGCACGCGTTAGCCGAGTGGAGAACCCTCACACATGTCACAAATTCTGAAGGATTTGCAAATTGATTCGATTCTGTTGCCTGGAGGGTGCACCAAGCATGTGGTTTGGCCTTAAAAAAAGAATTCGAGCTCAATATGAATGAATAATGAATGAGCGAATGAATGAGCGAACGAATGAGCGAATGAGCGAATGAATGAGCGAATGAATAAGCGAATGAGCGAATGAATGAGCGACGTTGACTCGCAGTGGAAATTCAGTCACCATCAATGAAAACCGATCTTTTGGTTTGTGAAACGAACACCCGAAGAACCTCAATCATGCTCTCGTTCAAGAATTGTGCGATTCCCATGGCTACTCATAGATCAGAAGACAATCTCATTCATTTCTTCAAGAAAGAAGGACCGATTCCTAAAGGCGATTGCCGATTGATGACGATTGATGATGATTGATGACTACAAGATTCACCAATGCTCGACTTGAGCAATTCATCAATGGAGTAAAGGATCAATTTGGGTGTTTGGAGATAATGATTTGGATAACGATTCTTGAGTGATTTCTTGATTCTTGTTAATTTCTTGATTATTGATTTACAAGCTGTTCTCCGTTGAGGTTGAGTTGATGGTTTTATTATTAAAGTCAACTTTTAAAGCTTTTTAAAGCTAGCTTTTTTTAGTTACCCTATAAATTTAGCTGTATTTCATCGTAATTTTTTCAATAAATTCCCCGATTTTCTCATCAAATTTGGGAAAAGTCGTGCAGTGAATGAGGGAAAAGAGACAATGAAAAGCTGCACGAGCCAATATTTAGCAAAAAGAAAAGAGAAAGGGGTAAAATGAGGACAAATATTGTCACCAAGGTCTCTCTTTTTTTTAAGCTTTCTGTAAAAAAGCACGTAAATTTACTTCCGTAACCCCAATGTTGATGTTGGTGATGATCAGTTGGTGATGGTCAGTTGAGCTGATTTGGACACAGTTAAAATTGAATTTTTCGAGCACAGACAAGATTTTCCGGTGTTCTGGAAGTCACAGGATTGATTGCACTATGTAGCACTAGGTTTTATTGCTTGTACCTCAGCTCTAGTCCCTAGTATGACAAGGTCTACTAGGTGGTGAGCTTTAAAACGCAGAAAATCGGTTAACCGATGCTTGATTTTCAACTGTGCGTTCCAGTTTGGCAGAAACAGTCACTGTTTCTCGGAAATTGAGCAAACTGGCCACAAATTGGCTTCGAATCGATTCGAGATTCGGATTCGACGCAACCCTGCAGGCTTTTTGTTATGTTTCGACATTTTTACGTAAAATTTATTCAAATTGGATATCACGTAAAGGTTTGGCGATTGAAGATTGGCGATTGGTTTGGCTAAAGCTAAAGCTTAGTATACGGTAGTCGTACAGTGGCTGACCCTCAACTGGTCTTAGCCCGCTTTGTTAAGATCAAAGCTGGTCCCACCAAAAACGTGAGTTCAAATGCGATGAGCTCCAGGAAAGACGAAAATCGAGGAGAGGACTCGAGAGACCCAAGAGGGGCCAAGAAATGGGCGCAGAGTCGTGGTGCTGTTGTCGTCTCGGGGAGGGATGGGTGTAGGGGTCCCCTCGGCTGCTAGTTGTGTCCTGTGCGTCCCAGGAGCCCCTTTTCTTCACCCCCTTTCAACCATTTCCTTTCCTCGATCGTCCTTTTGTGGTGGAGTCTGTTTGTGTCCCGCACGAGCACTCACCTTTCCCTCAGATCGGTTCTCAAAAGGATTTCATCGAGAATTTTACTTGCTTTACTGCTTTAGAGCGAATTTGATTTATTATTTCAAATTTTTTTCATCCTTTTAAAGCTCTAAAGCTCAGCTAAAAAACAGAAAATTTTAAAATTTGCATAATTTTTTCTTTTCTCTATTTGCTTAATTGAATTTCTTTGAAATTGAGTTTTTTTAAATTTTAAGCTTTTTTAAACTAAGCGAAGTACGGGAATTATGATCCTGATATCCTGACGGCTATTTTATGTGGACAGGAAAAGGGACAATGGGGTCAAAAGCAAAGAGACGCCCTTCATTGTCTCTCTCCGATCATTCCTATAGATTCCTTGCTTCCCTGTTTTCTTCTTCTTCTTCTTTTTCATTAAAACCCCATTTTTCTCGATAAATGCCTTCCAGAATGGAATTTTTGTTTTGTCGGATCAACCGTTTCTTCTCTAGTTTTTGATAAAATTGAGGCAGAACGTTCAGCGCTGAACTCGAAATTTTAGTTTTGACTTTTATTAGTGAATAAATGGCTCAAATTGTTGTGTGACCTCCAGAATAAACCAATTTTTGAGAATTTTTGAATTTCTAAAGCTCAGCTTGAAGAAAATAGGAATTGAACGTTCGACGCTAATTCGAGATTTCAATTTTGACCCTTGTTGGCTAGTAAACGGCTCAAATTGTTGTGTGACCTCCAGAATAGACTAATATTTTTGAATTTTTGGATTTCTAAAGTTCAGCTTTGAGAAAATTGGAATTGAACGTTCAGCGCTAAACTCGAAATTTTAGTTTTCACTTTTATTAGCTAAAAAATGGCTCAAATTCTTGTGTGACCTCCAGAATAAACAAATTTCAAAAAAATTTTGGATTTCTAAAGTTGAGCCTTGAGTAATTGTGTCATAATGTTCAGTGCTAAACTCGAAATTTCAGTTTCGACCCTTTTTAGCTAAAAAATGGCTCAAATTGTTGTGTGACCTCCAGAATAAACCAATTTCAAAAAAATTTTGAATTTCTAAAGTTCAGCTTGAAGAAAATTGGAATTGAACGTCCGACGCTAATTCAAAATTTTAATTTTCACTTTTATTAGCTAAAAAATGGCTCAAATTGTTGTGTGACCTCCAGAATCGACTAATCTTTTTGAATTTTTGAATTTCTAAAGTTGAGCTTTGAGAAAATCGCGTCCGAACGTTCAAAGCTAAAGCTCCAGAAAACGCTCGAGAAAAAAGCGGGTTTTCCAGGTTCCATCAAAATTCTGGAGTTAACTGTCGCCATCCGTGGCCTCCAATTTTCAAAAATCGATCTTAAATCCCCGATTTTTCAGCACAAATTCCAGGCAATGACCGTTTTTACGAAAGGTGACGGCGGCGAGGAGAAGAGCGAAAAAAAGTTGCCACAGGTGGGGGAAGTTCGAATTTTTTTGCTTAATTTCAGCCATCTGGAAGTCACATGAGCATTTGAAACTAATTTTTAGCAAAATTTTCCCCAAAAAAAAATTTTCATTTTCCCCAAAAAAAAATTTTCATTTTCAGGTGGTCATCTCGCCGTCTCCACTCGCGCCCACCCCGTCGCCGACTCCGCCAGAGGACGATGCGTTCGTTTTAAACCCAGAAAAACGTATTCAATAACGAGATAAATGCGAATTCGATCTTTAATGCAAATTTAGAAAACTCAAAGTTGCGAAATAAAAAAATCAAAAATTGTAAAATTAAAAAAGCACAAAAAAATTTTGTCTAAAAATTTGTCTAAAAATTTGTCTAAAAAATTAGCATAAAAAATTGCGTAAAAAAATTAGCATAAAAAAATTAGCATAAAAAAATTAGCATTAAAAAATTGCGTAAAAAATTTTCATAAAAAATTGCGTAAAAAAATTTGTCTAAAAAAATTTGCATAAAAAATTGTCTTAAAAAATTGTCTAAAAAATTGTCTAAAAAATTGTCTAAAAAATTGTCTAAAAAAAATTGTAAAGTGTAAAAAATTGTCTAAAAAATTTGCATAAAAAAATTGTCTAAAAAAATTTTGTCTAAAAATTTTTTTTTTTCTGACGGTTTTCCTCAAATTTTATTTTCAATTTGTTTACTGTGACATCCAGGACTAACAAATTTCATGTTTTAGAGTCGGGAAAAAGAAGCGATCCTCATCATTTGGCCCCCTTTCGATTATTCGACTTTCCCCCTCGCCATTCGCTCGCACCCCGTCCCCATCACCGCCCGAATACGAAGATCATTGGCATAGGTAGACGAAAAACCGATTCCAACTTATTTAAAGCTATGTTTTACTTAGATTGTACCGTATCCGAGCATGGCTTGTCTTTTTTGCTTTGACGATCTTCACATTCTCCTTTGTCGCCGGATACTTTTTTCACAAGTTCGTGAAAATGGGATTTTTTTGAGTTCAAAGCGCTTGGTGACATCCAGATTGATAAAAAGTTAAATCAGAATTGAAAAATCTTGCTTGACTGCCGAGATTTTCAATCGTACTCAAAATTGGGTAAACCGATTTTTGTGGAAATCGTTTCTGTCAAAAGTTTCTTTGCCAAAAGCTTGTGTGACATCCAGAATTTGGATTCCGCTTTTAAAAAAGCCGCATTTCCAGAACAGTGACCCCGAAAACCCTACCGTACACCGCGTACACCCAGACGGCCTTCAGCGACAACGGGCACGCCGAGGAACTTCGGCAAAATGTCGAGGTTGATCCAGCCAATGTAAGGAAATCAGTAAATAATCAAAAAACAAACAAATATCTATTTTTTGGATCATTTACCGTACCCAAACCATTTCATCCTAAAACGTGGATAAATTACCGTATCAAATATTGTCTGGTTTTTAAAAGTTGTCTGATTTTAAAAATCTTTCTTCCAAAATTAGCAATGGCATCCAGATTGACGAGAAATTTTGTCGAAAATCGAAAATTCTTGTTTCAAGCCGAAATTTGGCCTTGAACACAGATCACCTCGAAATCTTGCTCCCAACTCACTTCCAAAACTTCTTTGTCCGTTTTTTGGCCATCCTGGAATGCAGCCTTTCCAACAACAAACCGCTTTTCTGTCCCTTTCTTTATTCTTTATTTTCATTTTTCCCATTGATCAACCTCTCCACCCCTCTATGATCTGAATTCACAACCCTCACCCCTCACCCCTGCCCGGTCTATTTGCTTTCAGGGCTCCTGTGTGTGATCCAGGATGTCCAAAAATAGTAAAATAAAGAAGAAATCTCGGATAGAAAAAACGTAAATCGTTTCCAACTCAGAATCGTAGATACAAGTTGATTTTTTGTTGAGAAAACGTCGAATAACTAGCCTCAAAATCTCTTGTGACATCCAGATTGACAAAAAATTTGATTGAAAAGCGAAAATGAACTTCCAGGACTACGAAAAGATGAACGTGCAACAATTCGGGAGCAATAGACCCGCTGTGTTCATTCACGATTTCAAAAAGGTTTATAGGATTGTGGGCGATCTCAATTCGGCTTTTCAGAACATGACAGCAATTGTGGATGTGCTTGGGCGACGGTGTTTCTTGCGGGATTTAGATCGATCAACGATGTTATCGCCCAGAGAGCTCATTTCTCGGATCAGGAGAATGAAGGTGAGCATGGGAGTGGGAATTTATAGTAGGCTTAGGCTTAGGCTCAGGCTCAGGCTCAGACTCAGGCTCAGAATCGCAGCAGGGCAGTCACGCGGCACATCGACTATAAGACAAAAAAGATTTTGGTGAAAATCGAAAATCTGAATCTTAGAAGTTCTAGTGTGACATCCAGATCGAAGAAAAAATGCAATTAAAATCAAATTGCGTTTGCCAATTTTTCGAAATCTTCGCGAACGCGAACACTGTCAAGAGTTTGCGATAATTTCGAAAAATTGGCAAACGCAATTTGATTTCAATTGCGTTTTTTCTTCGATCTGGATGTCACATTAGAATTTCTAGGATTTAGATTTTCGATTTCCACCAAAAAATATTTGGGTTGGCAAAAGGGGCGGGGCCAGAGAGACCTTTTATACGCGCCTGGTCCCTTTGCCATTGACAATCTAGCTTTGAGTTCAAATATCTCGGCTTTTAGCTGTTCAATTGAAATCTTCTTGGTATCATTAGATGCGCCAAGTCTTTCTCTAATGGCGAAGGGGCGGGGCGCGTATAAAAGGTTTCTTTGGCCCCGCCCCTTTTGTCAATCTAACTTTGAGCTCGATTATCTCGACTTTGGGGCGTCCAATCTAGATACTTTTTGTACCAATCGATAGGGAAAGACTTGGCGCATCTAATGATACGGGGCACGTATAAAAGGTCTTCCTAGCTCCGCCCTTTTTGAGAATATAACTTTGAACTTAAATATCTCGATGTTGGTGTACCCAATTTCAAAAGTTTTTATCCCAATCAAAAGAGAAAGACTTGGCGCATCTAATGATACCAAGAAGATTTCAATTGAACAGCTCAAAGCCAAGATATTTGAGCTCAAAGATGGATTGCCAATGGCAAAAAGGCGGGGCGTTCCTTTTATGCGTAAAAGGGGCGGGGCTCGTATCAAATGTTCGACCGCTAATGTTTGATTAATTGGTCAAGATCAAGAGGAACCCGCTCTAGACAGAACTGGGCTGAATTAGAGCTTTGGGACAAGATTGTCTGTTTTGGCGGGTTAGAATTGAATCAAGAAATGGAGTCAGTCAGACCAAGTCATTCTAGATTTCTTAGAGTCAGCTCTGCGGTCAGACCTTGTTTGAACAGACCAGAATCAGGACTAGAATCAATTGACCAGGCCAGGCCATCAAGGCAGAGCCAGAGCCAGAGCCAGAGCCAGAGCAGGCAAGGTCTAGGCTCCAGAGCAGGGCAAGGTCACGCTTGAGCTCTGGATCTAGAGCCAAGAAAAGTCGGGTCTGGTAGATTATAAGAAAACCCTATCAAACTCTACAGCATCTTTATTTGTGACATCCAGATCATTCAAAAACCGAACATTCAGTCCGAGTCGTCGAAAGAAATGCGCCCAGTGGTGCGCGAGACATTCCGCGTCGGTCCACCCATCGCTCACCAGGATCTCATCGATTTGAACTCACAGGTTTATTTTCCATACTGACCTCCAGAATCGAGGTAAAACGAAGAAAAACCTGGCCTTATCCCCGAAAATCTCGATTTCAGATGGTGAATCGGCATTGTCTCTTCCGACCCGTTTTCATGCTGCACAAAATCTCACAAACCGAGCAAGACGTGATGAAACGACAGAAAAGGGGTTTGGGAATGAATTTTTTTCTTTTCTAGGCCGGTTTAATTACCGAACTCAGTGTGCCAGACTTTGTTTTTTTCGAATCCGAACAAGAACGCAGAATCCAATTTCAAACAATTTCAAAAAATTTCAAAATCGAAATTTTCTACGATTTAAGCTCTTTAAAGGCTACAATGACATCCAGATCGAGGTTTTAAGTTGAAGAATTTCTGATTGGCTCAGATTTTCGCCTCGAATTCCTACCTAGATCGACCCTTCTCTTTTCCAAATTTCGAATTGATTTTTTTTCCGAATCTAAGTAATCCAAATCATAAAATGACATCCAGATCGAGGTTTTAAGTTGAAAAATTTTCGATTACCTCAAATTTTCGACCCGATTTTCCGGCTAGATCAGATCCACTTTTTTCGAAATTCGAAATTGATTTTTTTCCGAATCTAAGTAATCCAAATTCTAAAATGACATCCAGATCAAAGTTTTAAGTTCAAAAATTTTCGATTTATTCAATTTTTCGCCTCGAATTCCTACCTAGATCGACTCCTCGCTTTTCCAAATTTCGAATTGATTTTTTTTCCAAATCTGAGTAATCCAAATCCTAGAATGATATCCAGATCGAAGTTTTAAGTTGAAAAATTTTCGATTCCTTCAAGTTTTCGCCTCGATTTTCCGGCTAGATCAATGCTCCACTTTTTTTTCAAATTGCAAATTGATTTCTTTTAGAATCTAAGTAATCTAAATGCTAGAATGATCTCCAGTTCGAAGTTTTTATTTGAAAACTTTTTCGATTCATTCAAATTTTCGTCGAAAATCTCGGTGAACTCGAAAATGAAGGATCCCTGCTGAAAAGTGACTGATTTTAAGCAGAATTTAAGCAGGATTTAAGCAGAATTCACGTGAATTAAGTTCAAATTCAAATTCCTAAATGATTTGAAAGCTTTTAGAGTCGCCGGCCGAGCCCCGCGAAGAGGATTTGACATTTGCGGTGATGGGCGGAGAGCGAGTCGAAGTCGATCACATTATGTTCTGAATTTGAATCGAAATCCCCAATTTTTCCGTCAAATTCGAACGTTCTGGAGAGCACAGCGTACTGCTAAAACAAAAAAAAACATAATTTTCTTTGATTTTTAAAAAACCGATTTTTTTGAGCGAAAGACTTTGACTTGAAATTTCGCTTCCCAAGGTAGATGACGAAAAACTGGATAAGTTACCGTAAACTATGGAGGGCACTGCGCTTTTTAGACGTTTTACAATAGCCTAGTATTGTTTGGGCGAAAGTACAGTACTAGAGAAGGGCCGCCCGGATTACTGTAAATGCTGTCTGTAATGATGTCTGTAAAAATTTGCATTTAAAATTTGCTTTTAAAATTAAAACATTTTTAAAACTGTTTTTTTGCTTTTTTTTTCTTTATTTCTCTGTCGTGACATCCAGAAAAGACTTTTTTTGAAAAAATTCTGAATTTTTATAAAAAACCCGAGCTCAAATTCCGTTGTAGTCACTGAGTGATTGAAAGCTGATCATTTCTCCTGATCATTTTCCCATTTCCTTTTGTTCACACCGATTTTCAATGTCATTGCTTTTCATTCTGGGATTCACTGTTTGTATTTTTCGAAAGATAATCGAGAATTTGCAAATTTTAAGCCCTTTTGAATTTTTTTTTGTTTTTTTTTTTTCGATTTCTCTGATTTCAGTCAAATTGCATAAAAGTTTTTATAAAAAAGAAAAAAAGACAAAAAATGATGGCCACTGTTATCTAAAAGGGATCTAAAGGCATCTAAAGGCAAAATCGATTCGATTTCAGCACCCTGGCTAGCACGGAGTCTATCGGGCAACTTTCAGCAAACCCTGAGTTACAGTGATTCCATCAAAACTTTATTTTCGCTAATTTTCAGAATTTTTGCAGTCTAACTTGTGTTGTGCCTTCCAGATCGCTGAAATCTTTCATTAAGTACGCACTTTAGCGTTACCGGATTCCGGCTATTGCGGCGATCTTGTGGCAATCGGCAATCAAAACCTCAATCAGCATTTTTCCTAGATTTTTCAAATCAATTTTACAGTGTGACTCCCAGATCGCTGAAATCTTTCATTAAGTAATCACTTTAGCGTTACCAGACTCCGGATATTGCGGCAATCTCGGCAATCGGCAATCAAGACTTCAATCAGCATTTTTCCTAGATTTTTCAAATCAATTTTACAGTGTGACTCCCAGATCGCTGAAATCTTTCATTGAGTAAGCACTTTAGCGTCACCAGCCTCCGGATATTGTGGCAATCTTGTGGCAATCAGCAATCAAAACTTCAATCGGCATTTTTCCTAGATTTTTCAAATCAATTTTACAGTGTGACTCCCAGATCGCTGAAATCTTTCATTGAGTAAGCACTTTAGCGTCACCAGCCTCCGGATATTGTGGCAATCTTGTGGCAATCAGCAATCAAAACTTCAATCGGCATTTTTCCTAGATTTTTCAAATCAATTTTACAGTGTGACTCCCAGATCGCTGAAATCTTTCATTAAGTACGCACTTTAGCGTTATCAGACTCCGGATATTGCGGCAATCTTGTGGCAATCAGCAATCAAAACTTCAATCGGCATTTTTCCTAGATTTTTCAAATCAATTTTACAGTGTGACTCCCAGATCGCTGAAATCTTTCATTAAGTACGCACTTTAGCGTTATCAGACTCCGGATATTGCGGCAATCTCGGCAATCGGCAATCAAGACTTCAATCAGCATTCTTCAATCAGCATTCTTAGATTTTTCAACTCAATTTTACAGTGTGACTCCCAGATCGGCTGAATATCTCAAAATCATAACATTTTCCTGTTCGAAAAGACCACTTTCCTGTTTGAAACCTGTTCGAAAACATATTATGCGTTCTATGATCGATATCGATTCGATCGGAGACAAGGAAATAAAGCTCTGCATGCAAAAAAAGGCTCTCCAATAACATTCAACTAAATCTACCCAATCCAAGCTCCACGAAAAGCCGTAATTCAAACAAATTCTGATTTTGAAAAACAATTTTTGCTCAAAAACAAAGAAATTCGATCGTTTCGCATAAACGTTTGGCTAAAAAGTGGGGAAATTTCTCTACATATTTACTCAGATGTCAAAAGCTCTGAAAATTTCGCCAAATTGTGAAATTTCCCTTTTCCATTTTCATTCATAACTTTTATTTACACACGTAAAAATCGATTTAACGGATTCGATAGGAAAAAAAGGCTCAAAATAAAGGAATCCAGATAATTTTCATTTAAAAATCGCTCATCTGGATGTCACTACGCATTCTGGAAAAAGGGATTTTGAATCTACGAAAAGTGGAGAGATTTCTATTTTCGAGCGTAAGAGTTTGTGAGTTAAAAATTTGCATATTTAAATTTAAATTGGATTTTGATTATGGAAAAGCTCTAGTTGGAAGTCACGAGAGGGCTTGGTGAAGAAAAAAACAATGAAAATGCAATTCTAGAAAAAAGACACGGTCGGCTACGGTAACTTGGGTGTTGTTTAAGGATGATAGCTTTTTAAGACCAATCCCAGAAATCATGATTTCAGCTAATTGTGTGACATCCAGATGGCATAAAAAATTTGCTGATCCTTATTAAAATCGCTGGAAATGATGAGATTTCCTTTGGTTCAGTTACCCAACAGCTTCAGAGCTTAAATTCGTCAACCCATACTTTCTAGCGCATTTTTGAACTCAAAAATGAACGATCTGGAAGTCACGAGAGGGCTTGGTGAAGAAAAAAACAATGAAAATGCAATTCTAGAAAAAAGACACGGTCGGCTACGGTAACTTGGGTGTTGTTTAAGGATGATAGCTTTTTAAGACAAATTCTAGAAATGATGATTTCAGCTAATTGTGTGACATCCAGATGGCATAAAAAAAAGGGATTTTTAATTTACTAAAAGCGGAGAGATTTCTATTTTCGAGCGTAAGAGTTGATGAGTTAAAAATTTGCATATTTAAATTTAAATTGAATTCTGATTATGGAAAAGCTCTAGTTGGATGTCATTTCGATTTTTCGCTTTCAAATCATCCCATCATTCCATCATATTGTGGTGGGTGGACTTGAGTGTTGGTGAAGCCGGGCGTGCACGTGTCGAAGTTGAAGTTGAACGAGGTCTCGCGATCCTGGAATCTCGATTTTGGAAGTCACGATGGAGATTGGTGGGGTTAAAATGGCTGGATATGCGATTTGAGAAAAAGACATTGAAAGGTTACGGTAGCTAGCGCGTCGTTTAGCACTGACCTTTAAAAATGTGTAGAAGCGGTAGATAACTTCGAGGAAATACGCTTCTACCAGCCCGGATATGCAAATGAAAATGATCATGAAGACGACAAAGCCGGAAAGAGCTGAAAATAATGAGATTGCCTTTGGTTTAGTTACCCAACAACTTCGGAGGTTAAATCTCTGAACCCATCCTTTCTAGCGCATTTTTAAACTTAAAAATGAACGATCTGGAAGTCACGAGAGGGCTTGGCGAAGAAAAAAACAATTAAAATGCAATTCTAGAAAAAAGACAAGATCGGCTACGGTAACTTGAGTGTTGTTTAAGGATGATAGCTTTTTAAGACGAGTTCTAAAAATGATGATTTCAGCTAATTGTGTGACATCCAGATTGCATAAAAAAATCAATTACCTTTATTAAAATCGCTGAAAATAATGAGATTTCCTTTGGTTCAGTTACCCAATAACTTCGGAGCTTAAACTCGTCAACCCATACTTTCTAATGAATTTTTAACCTTACAAATGAACGATCTGGAAGTCACGAGAGGGCTTGGTGAAGAAAACAACAATTAAAATGCAATTCTAGAAAAAAGACAAGCTCGGGTACGGTAACTTGGGTGTTGTTTAAGGATAATAGGTTTTTAAGACGAATTCTAAAAATGATGATTTCAGCTAATTGTGTGACATCCAGATGGCATAAAAAATCAATTACCTTTATTAAAATCATCTTGGGACATTCCCAATTGTTCCAAACTCCCGTAATCTTGAGCCAATTGACTAATCGCATTCGAATTCGTTGCAACCATGATCAACAAAGCGATGAGAGAGATGAAAGTGAGCACGAGACTGATTGTCTGAAGAAAATTGAGGTGAATTAGCTAGGGAAAGTTAGGCAGAGCTTAGCAGAGCTCGGCAAAGATCGGAGTTGATGACTCTGACAGAATTTAAGCTCCGGTTTTTCGTAAAATTTCAAAATTCCATCAGAAACCCGGTTTCTGGATGTCAGGACAAAAAACTAAAGCAAAAAAAGAAAGCTTTTATGATTACCTGAAAAATCATGTATGGCAAGACGTAGAGTCGCTTTTCTTTGAAAACCCCGTATAACAACATGCCGAAAACGACGACGCCAAACGCTAAAATAAAAAAATTTCCCCTTGGTGCCTTCCAGATTAACAGAATTTAGCAAAAGAAATCTAAAACAATTCGATTTTTAGCTCTAAAACATCTCGAACTCTAACGGCTCCACGTCGAGATTGCAAATGTAACTTTCTACAAACCAGATCATCATTATGTTTTCATGTGACCTCCAGCTTGCCCGAATTTCTCACTGGATTTTCAAAATCTTCATTTCCTCGCGCTTACCGGCGGAGAAGAGATTCTGGAAGGCGACGGTGGCTGTCCGGGTCAATGAGAAGATCACCGTCACCGCCAGGGACAACGCCAAGAGACAGGAAACGATACGGGCGCCTTTCTGAAAGATTTAAGAAAGGTTTCTTGTTTAAGAAGTCTAGAATCACGGATTTACCTTTATATGCAAATTCCCGCAAAAACACTGATACTTCTTCGCGTTTTGATCAAATGGGATTTGATGGGCTCTCGTCGCCATTTCTAGATGGAAAACTGGAAGGGAAGGGATGAGAAAGAAGAAAGGAAGAAAGGAAGGAAGGGAGGAAGGAAGGGAGGAAGGAGGGAGGGAGGAAGGGAGGGAGGAGGGAGGAAGGAGGGAGGAAGGAAGAGCAAAAGGAAGTAAGAAAGGAAGGAAGAACGGAAGGAAGAAAGGAAGGGAGGATGAAAGGGAGGAAGGAAGGGAGGAAGGAGGGAGGAAGGAAGGGAGGAAGGGAGAAAGAAAGAACGGAAGGAAGAAAGAAAGGAAGAAAGGAAGGAAGGGAGGAAGGAAGGAAGAACAGAAGGAAGAACAGAAGGAAGAAAGGAAGAAAGCAAGAAAGGAAGGAAGGAAGAACAGGAGGGAGAAAGAAAAGAAGAAAGCGAAGGGAAAAACCAGCTGAAACCAGATCAAAAACCCGTTTAGCGGCAGGCCTCGAACTTGTCGTCGTGGCGCAGTCGGGAGCGCGCCGGTCTACAGCTCTAGACGAGCTTGGTTCGATCCCCCGTGCTGCCATTTAACTCGGCATTTTCAATTTTTTGATTTGAAATGTCACAACTCTAATATTTTAAGGTTTTCTAAAGAAGTTTTAGCTTTATTGGTTAAAAAAAGGCCGAGAAAAGGTAGATAGACAGACAGACATTGACCCGGCCTTTGAAATAACTCCTAGATAAATCTGATAGACTAAAAGATGACAAGGGTGGGTAGAAATTGTTTCTAAAGTTTCTTAATTGTTTCTAAAGCTTTTTCAAGCTCTAAAAATAGCTGATTGAGGCTTATCGGGAGAGAAATTTTGAAAAATAAAGAAAAAATCTTTATTTTATTGATAAAATAAAGTTTTCGATGGCTACAATGGCTACAAATGGCTACAAATGGCTGTTTAAAGCAAAAGAAAAAGTCATTGACTCATAAAATTCAGCTAAATGAAGTTATTCAGCTAAATGAATCACAGAAAATTGTGTGCTGGCAATAGAGATTTCAAAATTGGCTTTCCCCTCCCTCCAACTCTGGATTTCAATATGTGGATGCGCTTTTCTCTCTTTTGCTTTCACAGCTGCCTTTCATTCATCCATGGAAAGCTTTTTTTCTTTTTTCTGTTGTCTCCGATGAAATCGATATCGATTCTGGAGTGTATAATATGTTTTCGAACAGGTTTGTGATATGAAAATGGTCTTTTAAAGCATGAATAGCTATAATTTTGTGATATTCAGCCGATCTGGAAGTCACACTGTAAAATTGAGTTAAAAAATCTAGGACTTTACTCTAGACTTATGCGCATCAAAGTTTTGACGGAGATCGTCGTGATAACTGGAGTCCGACAACCGTAAAGTGCGTACTTATTGAAAGATTTCAGCGATCTGGAACGCACAACACAAGTTAGACCACGAAAATCGATCCTAGAACGCATAATATGTTTTCGAACAGGTTTCAAACAGGAAAATGGTCTTTTCGAATAGGAAAATGTTGATAATTTTGAGATATTCAGCCGATCTGGGACACACAGTAGAAAATTGAGTTAAAAAATCTCGGAAAAATGCTGATTGAAGTTTTGATTGCCGATTGTCACAAGTTTGCCGCAATAGCTGGAGTTCGGTAACGCTAAAGTGCCTACTTAATGAAAGATTTCAGCGATCTGGAACGCACAACACAAGTTAGAGTACGAAAATTCTGGAAATAAGTGAAAATAAAGTTTTGATAGAAATTACAGCAACCCAGGGTTACTGAAAGTTGAAAATCCGATAAACTAACGGCATTAAAAGGCTCTGTGCTAGCCAGGATGCTGAAATATTATCGATTTTATTGAAAAATGCCTTTAGATTACGTTTTATTCAGCGACCAAACGATTTAGAAAAGAAAACTGAGAAAACTGAGTAAGACTGAGTCAAAAAAAAAGCCGTTCTCTATGTCTTGAATGTTTAGGAGTTAGTATAAGGGTATTACAATAAATCTCCTGTATGTGTAGGTACCATCAAACCGACCGAAAATGTAGATGCCGTTTATCTGGACGTACGAAAAGCTTTATAAGCTTTATAAGCTTTATAAGTGTCACAAATTCTGAATTATATTTATCCTTTAGAAGATACTGAAAATACAATTGAATAATTAGCAAAGATTGCGGTTGAATTAAGAAAAACAATCAAAATGATGGCTCAAAATGATGGCGATCAAAATTTTGAGAGATATGTGAATAACTGTGAAGTTGTGACGTTTGAGAAGAACGAGAAGACGTTTGAGCTAGCTACCAGAAAAAGCATAACAAAGCTAGCTATCAGACAAAATGAAAAATCAAAGGAGAGAAATGTTGAATTGGAAGCAGCTCGACGATTATTTTGGAAGTCGGAAGTCTTTTTTCGGAGTCGAACATGGCTGATCATTCCGCTTTTATTAGGTCCTGGAAATTGGAAAAGTAGAAAATGTTTCTCCGTGAACATTTACAAGACGTTTTTTGGCGTGCCCGCTTTAACGGACACCTCTAAAACGACTCGACCGTCTTTGATATAGCCTCGATCTTCCTCCAAAATCTCCTGGAAATTAAGGTATTGGTAGATCGATAGAAACGGTAGATCACATCATTAAAATCTGATTGTCTAGCTAAAACAGGTCAACAATTCTACAGATATGTTTCCAAACTAGTCTAACTGACAAGTCTAACAAACCAGACTTAAGTCTAACTGATCCAGGTCTAACAGAGCCAGAGACAGAGACTGGGGCAGATCCGATCTCAACAAGGTTTCGCTGGGTCAGGTCCGATCTCAACAAGGTTTGATTGGGTTAAATCCGATCTCAACAAGGTAAACGAGGTTTTAGGCAGATCCTTCTACAGTGTCATTCGATTTCTAATGTTCATGGATACTGTTAAAGGCTTAGGCTTAGGCTCAGGCTCAGGCTTAGGCTTAAGCTTAGGCTTAGGCTTAGGCTCAGGCTTAGGCTTAGGCTTAGGGATAGGCTTAGGCTTAGGCTCAGGCTTAGGCTTAGGCTTAGGGATAGGCTTAGGCTTAGGCTTAGGCTTAGGCTTAGGCTTAGGCTTAGGCTTAGGCTTAGGGATAGGCTTAGGCTTAGGCTCAGGCTTAGGCTTAGGCTTAGGGATAGGCTTAGGCTTAGGCTTAGGCTTAGGCTTAGGCTTAGGGATAGGCTTAGGCTTAGGCTCAGGCTTAGGCTTAGGCTTAGGGATAGGCTTAGGCTTAGGCTTAGGCTTAGGCTTAGGCTTAGGGATAGGCTTAGGCTTAGGCTTAGGCTTAGGCTTAGGCTTAGGCTTATGCTCAGGCTTAGGCTTAGGCTCGGACCCTGGCCCAGGTCCAGGCTCTGACTCTGGCTTAGGCTTAGGCTTAGGCTTCTAGAAAACCTAACTGAATACTAATGCAAAGCACAGAGAAGGCTGAGTATCTTTAGTTTCAAGTGAAGAACCCGGAAGTTATTCAGTCTTGATGCCTGAATAATTTGATGCCGGCTGTGAGGCTACAAACCTAAACCTGCAGCTCTGATCCAATCAAATCCCATCCCAATCCAGTCAAATCCCATTAAGCCTACATTACACTACTACAAACAATTCAGGATCGAATCTCTAAGTTTCATCAAAACATTTCGCTCACCTCCCACGTCATGAAGCGCGAGTATCCCCAATCGTGCTCTTTGGCCGTGTAGATGTGATTTGTTTTGCGGGTGAAATGGTTGACGCCCGGCTTCTGCGAGATCAAGCGCAACTCCGTCGACGCTTCACATTCCCAAGCACTGCAATTGTTTAGATAATAAAACCGTCCTCTTTCTAGTTTGTAAAAGTCTAAAGTGTCTCAAACTTTAATTGACATTTTTACACGAACCACATAAACCTTTTCCACTCGACACCACTCATATAAAGGTGAAAATAAGTACCGTTTGAAAAAGTACCGTTTAAAAAAACGTTTTTAGCATTATTTCCTTTAAGCCAATACCGTTTTTGAGTTTGGGAACTTTCAGTTTTTCAACTTTCCATAATTCTTTCTCTAAACAGTTCTAGTTTCTTTAAAAGCAAATTTTGATAACCTAAATCGTTTATTATTGTTGAGAAAACCTTTCAGCTACTCTTTATTTACTCGGTGAAAGTTATTGGGTATGGCTTTTTCTTCAAAAACTTACTCCAAAGACGCATCGGGGCAACATTGAAGAAAAAAGCCGAGACATTTCATCGTCCCCTTTTTCTGTACGACGTGCATTCTCGGCATTGCCATGATTTTCCTAAAAAGAAAGAGCCTAGATCATTTTTCAATCTATCTTTAACTTTTTTGCTTTCCAATATTTCAATATTGCTGTTTAAATTGAATGAAAAATCGATCAGGGGATTTCAACTGGTTATATGCTGTAGGGTTTGGGTAACTTGGCTTTGGCTGGCTTGGCTTTGGATGGCTTGGGTTTGGCTTTGGATGGCTTGGGTTTGGCTTTGGATGGCTTGGCTTGGCTTTGGATGGCTTGGGTTTGGCTTTGGATGGCTTGGCTTGGCTTTGGCTAGCTTGGGTTTGGCTTTGGATGGCTTGGCTTGGCTTTGGCTAGCTTGGGTTTGGCTTTGGATGGCTTGGCTTGGCTTTGGATGGCTTGGGTTTGGCTTTGGATGGCTTGGCTTGGCTTTGGCTAGCTTGGGTTTGGCTTTGGATGGCTTGGCTTGGCTTTGGATGGCTTGGGTTTGGCTTTGGATGGCTTGGCTTGGCTTTGGCTAGCTTGGGTTTGGCTTTGGATGGCTTGGCTTAGCTTTGGCTAGCTTGGGTTTGGCTTTGGATGGCTTGGCTTTGGCTAGCTTGGGTTTAGCTTTGGATGGCTTGGCTTGGCTTTGGATGGCTTGGGTTTGGCTTTGGATGGCTTAGCTTGGCTTTGGCTAGCTTAGGTTTAGCTTTGGATGGCTTGGCCTTTGGATGGCTTAGGTTTGGCTTTGGATGGCTTGGCTTTGGCTTTGGATGGTTTGGCTTGGCTTTGGATGGCTTGGGTTTGGCTTTGGATGGCTTGGCTTGGCTTTGGATGGCTTGGCTTGGCTTTGGCTAGCTTGGGTTTGGCTTTGGATGGCTTGGCTTGGCTTTGGATGGCTTGGGTTTGGCTTTAAATGGCTTGGCTTGGCTTTGGATGGCCTGGGTTTGGCTTTGGATGGCTTGGCTTGGCTTTGGATGGCTTGGCTTGGCTTTGGATGGCTTGGCTTGGCTTTGGATGGCTTGGGTTTGGCTTTGGATGGCTTGGCCTGGCTTTGGATGGCTTGGGTTTGGCTTTGGATGGCTTGGCTTTGGCTTTGGATGGTTTGGCTTGGCTTTGGATGGCTTGGGTTTGGCTAGCTTGGCTTGGACTTAGTGCGAAGGCTAGCGGCTAGCGCCTAGCACTAAGTCTATTTGGGTTTGGGCTGAACCCCGATTTTCTGGATCTCAGCCAGTTCTCGGAGCTAAGGGACACGCGTTTGGCGGTGTGCATGCGCCCCCCATGGAAGCATCTTGACAAAATTTCAGGTCACTCTCGTGTCTGGAAGTTGAGATATAGAAAGTGGTTTTTACGATTTAGGCTTAGGCTTAGGCTTAGGCTTAGGCTTAGGCTTAGGCTTAGGCTAACTTGGCTTGGCTTTGGATGGCTTGGCTTTGGCTGGCTTGGCTTTGGCTAGCTTGGCTTTGGCTGGCTTTGGCTTTGGCTGGCTTTGGCTTTGGTTAACAATTGCTTGTTAGCCAAAGATTGTGTTGTTTCAAATGTTATTGCTTTACATTCGAATTAGTATGATTTCCAAAAACCGACCATTGCATTCCATTGATCCTTTTACTTGGCCCTAGCACTTTGTCGTTGAGATTCGGGAAATTCTCTATCATCAATCGGAGCACCCCATCCGATGACGAGGATGAGGCTTCCGCTTCCCCACCTTCGTCGTGCATTGCCTGGATTTTGAGAATTCAAATTATAATCTATAAAAGGGATAGAGCATGAATTCAAATCAATTCAATGTGCGAAAAAGTCAAAAATGAACCGGAAATTTGATTGGCTTAAAAGTTTTGCCCATTTCTTATCAGTTTTGAAAATATTTAAGGCTTTCCCGAGCACATTTCGTCGTCAGAATCGAGAAAAAAAAGAAATGGAGAGATTTTGGGCGATTCTCGATACTTTTTCTACTATTTTTCGCAATGACGCTCAGTTGGTTTCAGAAGATTTTCGAATTTTTGAATTTTCAACTTCTGAATAGCTCAAAATATTGTGTGACATCCAGAACTTACGAAAATTCTATTTGATTTGGAGAAGGATTTCGTTTGGCAAAGATTCGGGGAAATAAAATTTTTAAAGAATTTTTAGAATTCCAAACTGGTCACAGCATTAGGAATTTCCGATCTTCGTGGTTCGCGCCGATCATTTCAGCGCCAAAGACTTGAGCGCCGGCCATTTGAGCGCCGAAGACTTGAGCGCCTACCATTTGAGCGCCAAAAACTTGAGCGCTGATTATTTTAGCGCCAAAGACTTGAGCGCCGACAATTTGAGCGCCGAAGACTTGAGCACTGATTATTTTAGCGCCAAAGACTTGAGCGCCGATCATTTGAGCAAATCTATTCGAGCTTGCAAGCATACACCGCCTAAAAGGACGAGAAACCTTAATACGCTCTTCTGCGTTTTCTCTCATCCTTAAATAATAGGATCATAATTCGACAAGATTCAATACAAGTAAAAACTTGTTGACCATCTTCGATATATCATCTTCAGCATATCATCTTTGCATGTATTGGGGTAATGGTGGCGCAAGTTTCACTTTTAAGCCTACAGCGCAAGTTTTGCCAGCGCAAAATTCGTCGCGCCACCTTTGCTTTAACATTTTTGGCGCGAAATTGGCTAGCCTGTCGCGCAAGCTTCGTGGCGCGAGATTGGCTAGCCTGTCGCGCAAGCTTCGTGGCGCGAGATTGGCTAGCCTGTCGCGCAAGCTTCGTGGCGCGAGATTGGCTAGCCTGTAGCGCAAGCTTCGTGGCGCGAAGTTGGCTAGCCTGTCGCGCAAGCTTCGTGGCGCGAAATCGGCCAGCCTGTAGCGCAAGCTTCGTGGCGCGAAATCGGCTAGCCTGTCGCGCAAGCTTCGTGGCGCAAAATCCGCGGCGCAAGCTTCGTTTTGAAGGCGCAAGGTTCGCGTGGCGCAATCTTTGCTTTTTGTTTTATAGCGCAAGCTTCGTGGCGCAAAATTCGAGGCGCAAGGTTCGTCTTGAAGGCGCGGCGCAAGATTCGTGATTAACATAGGCGGCGCAAGCTTCATGGCCCCATCAAAAGCTATAAACCAGCAAAGTTTGTAAAGGATTTCTCACAATTCTGAACAATTTCAACTAGATCTGCTGGCTAAATGACACGAGCAATCGATGATTCAATGCAGAATTTCATGCTGATTCTGAATGTGCTTTCCGTTTCCGCTATGGAGCGCCCAGTCAAAAGTTATAAGCGTGCAAAGTTTTGTAGGGCTTTCTCACCGAATTTCTCAAAATTCTGAATAGAATTTCAATCCGTTTCTTAACGATTTATTCTTCAAATACGACTCAATGAGCTGTTAAAAGAATATAGACAAAAATCGAGACGAGAAATTGATAAAAATGATTGCTTGAGCCACCATTCGCCCAATCGTTGCCGGTGTCACTCTGGAAATAAAAAAAATTAACGGGAAACTGTCTTAAAACACTCAAAATTCGATTGCTCAATGAAGCTAGGGGAATTAAACGTAAGCCAGAGATTTTGTTGATAAAAAGCGGTGATCTGGAGGTCACAGGAGATGCTGAGCATTTTTTAAAGACTGATACTCGAGTTTAGGTCGATTCAGTTACCCAATCTCAATACCTCACGTGAATCTCGAACGGAATCGCTAATTTCAGGCTAGAGTTTCGTTTTTTGTCTATTCTGGATGTCACAGAAGAGTCTAGAATCGAAAATTGATGGCTAAAGATAAAAGAAGATTTTTTTGAATCAAGACTTTACCATTGCCATCACAGTCGAGATCAGGAATAAAAAGGCGATCAGAAATTTGATCATTTTTCAGTTTCAATCAATCCAATAGCTGTCGTGCCACCCAGAATGGGAAATTTGATCGAAAAATTTTTGATTTTATATTTGTTTTTTATCTAAAATCCGCTCAGCTGGATTTGGCAGCCAATTAGCGGAGGAGTGGGCGCAAAATCGCGTTCAACAGTGATTCAACCGTGAAATCGATGGGCTACAAGAATAATTAGCTGATGAAATTTAAGCGAATCGGCAGTAAATGAACAGCTGAGCCAGGGAAATCCTCCAAAACCGGGTGCGGAAGTTGATCAAACCTGAAACCTCGTTTTCCTGCTTGGAATTACCATTTTAAGGACAGGAATGATCGATCTGGATGTCACACAGGATGCTGACAACAAATTCGAGGCAAGAAACGAGATTTAGGCCGGTTCATTTACCCAACTTCAGCTATCCCCGTCTCATTACCGTTTTCCTGCTTGGAATTCCCATTTTAAGGACAGAAATGATCGATCTGGATGTCACACAGGATGCTAAAAACAAATTCGAGGCAAGAGACAAGATTTGGGCTGGTTCATTTACCCAGCTTCATTTACCCAGATCTCATTACCGTTTTTCTACTTGAAAGACATCTTTTAAGGACAGGAATGATCGATCTGGATGTCACACAGGATGCTGACAACAAATTCGAGGCAAAGGGAGAGATTTGGGCTGGTTCATTTACCCCATTTCATTTACCCCCATCTCATTACCGTTTTCCTACTTGAAAGAGATCTTTTGAGAACAGGAATGATCGATCTGGATGTCACAGGCAATGCTGACAACAAATTCGAGGCAAGAAACGAGATTTAGGCCGGTTCATTTACCCAACTTCAGCTATCCCCGTCTCATTACCGTTTTCCTGCTTGGAATTCCCATTTTAAGGACAGAAATGATCGATCTGGATGTCACACAAGGTGTTGGCAACCTGGCAACAAGTTTCAAGACGAATTTGCACCGGTTCATTTACCCCCATCTCATTACCGTTTTCCTACTTGAAAGAGATCTTTTGAGAACAGGAATGATCGATCTGGATGTCACACGGGATGCTGACAACAAATTCGAGGCAAGAAACGAGATTTAGGCCGGTTCATTTACCCAACTTCAGCTATCCCCGTCTCATTACCGTTTTCCTGCTTGGAGTTCCCATTTTAAGGAAAGGAATGATCGATCTGGAGGTCACACAAGGTGTTGGCAACCTTGCAACAAATTTCGAGGCAACGGACGAATTTGGGCCGGTTCATTTACCCCGTCTCATTCTCGTTTTCCTAAGAGGGCAGGGCGTCCCACAATCAATGAAGTAGCTCCAGAAAATCGTGAATCCTCAAAGCTAGAATATTTCTGAAGCTCGCTGTTGAGACAGAGCCGGCTGGGATTGTAGAGAAATATGAGAACATGAGAACTCGTGGCACATCCCCACCAGCACATGCACGCTGCTGGGAACTTGCCTTTTTCCTATATGAATTTTGAGTATTTCACCCAAGTGTCATATGTCGTTTAAAGGTTTTCGGGTATGGTGAAGCCAGAAATCACTGTTGTTTTATTCGGTGGCATCAGAAATTTCGCTAATTGCAGGACTGGAGCAATTTCTCGGTTCCCTTTCACTTTAGCTCATCCTTTTTCAAAGTATTCTTCAAGCTGGAGTGCACACTAGTGTTTCCATTCGTTTTTGCTGTTTTGCTTTTCATTGAGAAAATTTTTCAATTTTATTCACACATCTCTATCAGGAATTTTCATCAAATCTTGTAACCTAATGAATAAAAAAGAATAAGTTATTCAGCGGAAAAATACAAGTGAAATACGGTAATAGTAGTGGTTTAAAATCAATCAAAAAATCACAACAACGAAAAAAGCGAAAAAAAAAGCGAAAAAAAACGAAAAAGGCACCGAGTGAATGAAATGAAAGAAAAAATTTCGATAAATGAGCAACTTTTCGGGGAAACAAATAGAATTTTTCGCGTTTCTGGAAGTCATTTGAAAAAATTAGCACGGAAAAACTTGATTTACTTCAAAATTTGCACTTATCAAAGCTCGATTTTGGTTGGGACGAGGAAATCCGTATTTTTTGAAGAGGAATCAACAAATTTTCAATTTTTCCCGCGATCTGGAGCGCACACTATAGTTTAAAGCAAAAAAAAAACGGATTTCCTGGTCTTTGAGAAAAATCGTCTTTGAGAGTACGGTAGCTGGGGCGTGGTTTAGAAAATCGTTTAAAATGGCGCTTTTTTGAAAAACTAAACAATGCCCCGGCTAAAGTGCGTTCCAGGAAACGAGAAAAACGTTCCAGAAAACGGAAAAACTTGATTTACATTCAAAATTTGCACTTATCAATGCTCGATTTTGGTTGGGACGAGGAAATCCGTATTTTTTGAAGAAGAGTCCACAAATTTTCAATTTTTCACTCGATCTGGAGTGCACGCTATAGTTTAAAGCCGAAAAAAACGGATTTCCTGAAAAAGTCGTCTTTCAGAGTACGGTAGCTGGGGCATAATTTAGAAATTTTTTTTAAATGAGGCTTTTTTAAAAAACTAAACAATGCTCCGGCTAAAGTGCGTTCCAGGAAACGGGAAAAACAAGTTTTTAAACACAAAACACAGTGGCATTGCTGCAAAAAATGGACCAAGTCGTTTCGGCTCGATGAAGCCTTTGTTTTTTGGACTACCCGTGGCGCTCTAGTGGCACCGACTGCTTAAAAATGCTTAGAAATGCTTAGAAATCGAAAAAAGCCAAAAAAGCTACATAATAAAGGTCAATTTTAAGGTCTGAAAATAGCTTTAAAATTTTCAAAAAAAAAATATCACAATTTTTCTTTGTAAAATGAAAGAAATTTAAAAAAATTGAAAAAAATTGAAAAAAATGCGTTCCAGCTTGGGGAAAAATGGCGAAAAAATGGAAAAAAAAGGGATGAAAGACGCGAGAATTTTGAAAGGAAACGAAAAACTGCAAGACGAAAAATGAAAATTGAAGAAAATCGATGAAAATCAAAGAAAATCGAAGAAAATCAAAGAAAATCAAGGAAAATCGAAGAATCGTGAGGAAATTTTGTTCAATTTATACCCAATGCGTGCCAGGATGTAAGAATTTTTTTGTGCGAAATGGAGAGAAGCGAGAGAAATGCGAAAATTGGTCTCGCTCAAGTTTGAGACCAAAAGCGACATCTAAAAACGTTTCTAAGCTGCTCCGAGATTTTTTTGATCAATCTGGATGTCAGTCTAGTTGCTAAAAGCATTAGAATGAAGCTTTCGCTAAAATTCAAAAATCGATTTTCTTGAGGCACAAGTTTAAGTCAAAATCGATCTTTTAGCAAAAAATTTTTTTTGCTGAAAGATCCATTCTAATGCTTTTAGCAACTAGACTGACATCCAGATTAATCGAAAAAAATCTCGGAGCAGCTTGGAAATGATTTTAGATATCATTTTTGGTCTCAAACTTGTACCTCAAGAAAATCGATTTTTGAATTTTAGCGAAAGCTTTATTTTAACGCTTTTAGCAACTAGACTGGCATCCAGATTGATCAAAAAAAATCTCAAAGCAGCTGGAAAACGAGATTAGATGTCATTTTTGGTCTCAAAATTGTACCTCAAGAAAATCGATTTTTGAATTTTAGCGAAAGCTTTATTTTAACGCTTTTAGCAACTAGACTGACATCCAGATTAATCAAAAAAATCTCAGAGCAGCTTGAAAACGATTTTTAGATATCGTTTTTGGTCTCAAAATTGTACCTCAAGAAAATCAATTTTTGAATTTTAGCGAAAGATCCATTTTAACGCTTTTAGCAACTAGACTGACATCCAGATTAATCAAAAAAAATCTCGGAGCAGCTTAAAAACGATTTTAGATATCGTTTTTGGTCTCAAACTTGTACCTCAAGAAAATCGACTTTTGCATTTTCTCGAAAATGACATCACTACTGTGCTCAAGTTGTGTCCTGTGGTCCAGCTTGGCGGAAAGTTGAAGTTGTGAAGCTTGAAGCTTTGAAGTTGAAGCTTTGAAGTCCTTTAAAGCTTGTGAATCAAATGAGTCGCTCCTCTTTGCTCACATGCGTCATGGGAAGCGAGTAGGCGGCGGATAAAGCCGATTCTTCACGAGATGGATTGTATTTGCCTGAAATGGACGCATTGAAATGGCCAGATCAAGTTCAGAATCACAAAATTCAATTCTTTTACCCGAAAAACTCCCGGTTTAGTTACCCAACTTAGTCAATAACTCTAGAATGCTTAAGAACTGTTCTAAATCGAAATCGTTAACCTCTGTGACTTCCAGCTTGAGAGATCCTTCGAGAAAAACGACTAGTTCACTTACCCAATTTCCCCAAAATCCACTCACCATGTAATTTTCGACTTTGCCGCACGTATCGCATTGTGAAGAAAGCGGCCGCCAGAAGCAACAAGCCGATCACTAAATTGGATGTCACAGTACGATTTTGAAAAGAAATTTTTCGTTTTAGAGTCAATCTAAAAAAGTAAAGATATTCAGTTAAGCCTGTAAAAGTAAAGATATTCAGTTAAGAAGTTAAATATCGACAAAACACGGTAAAAACTCGAGGATTAGCTGCTGTGACTTCCAGCTTGACCAAATCATTTCCGAAAACTCACAGCAAACGGCGATAATCGCGACAATAATGCTGGCGGCAGAGCTGCCATTTTGGCTCGCGTTTCCGGTTGCGATCACCGCCTTCGTTGTGTCCTCGGTGGCTAAAATTAAGGGAAATTAAGGGATCGTGGTTTCTGAAACGAACTTGGTGGCTGAGGAGAGGTGGGAGTTGGCCAGGCGTGCTCGTGCACATTGTTGTTGCCGCGGATCGGTGGCAAGACTGTCGGCTGCTAAAGAATGGGGATTTTTGAATAGGATTCTCAAAATCGTCAATCCTGGAGCGCACTCTATGCTCACCTGCTCTTGTTCCTCCTCTTTTTCGTCTTCTTCCGTTTCTGGTTCTTCGGTCGTCGTCGTCGTTGTGCTGGTCGTCGAGCGAGTGGTCGATGGCTGAGAATTGGGATTTTGATGGATTTAGCATTGAGAATGGATGTCGTGCGTTCCAGAATGGAAAGCTAAGGCACTATCCGGTGATAGAGCCGAGATTTTTGTCTTGAATTGTAGAGAGAAGTTTTGAGGCTCTAGCACAGCGAGAACTCGGTTTGAATCGGTTTGAAATGGTGATTTTCGAGTTTTTCCTCTTTAGCCAAGCCAATTTTCTAACTGATTTGTGTTTCTAGAATCGTTAAATGATCAGTCAGTTGTTGTTTTTGAGATCGTCGATCGCCGATCGCCTTTGTTGTGCCTTACAAAGCTTAAAAAGTTGACAAAGTTGAGACTCGCGGCAAATCGGACAAATAAAAACTCAATTTAGGGCTTTTGAGAGCCATTTTTAAAGTTCTTTAATGAATATGAGCAGCTTTAAAATAAAAACAGCTCAACCAGTTCGCAGGAATTCGATTTTTGTCACCGAATCGATTAAAAAGATGGCTACAGAAGAAATACTCGAAAATCAGCTCGAAAATCAACTCAAAAATCAGCTCCAAATTTGAACGGATCGTCATACTTCGAAAGCTCTATGATAATAATGGCAAAGCTTTAAAATAATAACGGATTGAGCTTTTGAATAGTTTTCGGATATTTCAAGGAATCCGGGTGTTTTCAAAGAATCTAAGTCTTTTAAAAAAATCAGGGTCGTTTGAACGGATTGTCACACTTTGAAGGTCAGCTTTGAAGGCCTATAACTTTGTCCAGAGATCATATTTTTGCTATCTTTTTATATCATTGTAGAGAGGAGATTTCAGGCTTTCAAATGATACCAAATAAAGCTTTATTGGCTTTTTGCATTCCCATAAAAACCAGGTTACACTGGAGCTGAGTTGGATCGGCCTCCGTTTGTTCGTTTCCCTTTGATTTCTCTGGACTGGCTTACCCAATCAAGCTCTATTTAGTGGCAATCGAAAGCCAAAAATCTCCTCTATTCAATGGTAGAAAAAGTTTGGCACAAGATAATCTCTAGACAAAGATATAGGCTTTCAAAGTCGCAAGTCTGATAATGGTATCAATAGTTATCTTATGCCAAACTTTTTTATATCATTGTAAAGAGGAGATTTCAGGCTTTCAAATGATACCAAATAGAGCTTGTTTGGAAAAAAGTCGGAGTCAACTCTGAGTCAAAGAAAATCAGAGTCAACTCTGAACAAATGACATCTATCCGACTCAGCTCCAGTGTAACCTGGTTTTTATGGGAATGCAAAAGGCAATCAAGCTCTATTTAGTATCATTTGAAAGCCTGAAATGTCCTCTTTACAATGATATAAAAAGATAGCAAAAATATGATCTCTAGACGAAGTTATAGGCCTTCAAAGTATGACGAAACCCAGATTTTCAAAAGACGCCGATTTTTTAAAAAAACCCAGATTTTTTCAAAAGACCCGGATTCTTTGGAAAACACTCGGAAAAGCTCAATCCGTTATTTATTATCGTAGAGCTTTCGCGGCCCAGACGTCAAGAAAAAGACAAAACCGATTTCCAACCCAAGTCAATTGTTGGTTTTGGCTCTGGAAACTCGCTTGGCCATGAATTTTCCGTTCCGTTTCAGTCCCGGCAATATTTTGAAATGAATAGAGCCAGAGTTTTTTGACTAGAGCCAGAGCCAAAAGCGCTAAAATCTTTTTCCAAACCCTAGTCACCTGTTTGGGTGACTCAGTCGTTGTCATCATCCAGAATGGCAGCACCGATTGTGTCGTTTCCCCGGAGGCCACCTCAGCCGATTCCTAAAGCCGATCTTTTTCCTTTCCAAGTCAAATTCCCCTACCGTAGTCGTCTGTGGGGATATGGTTGAGTCGGGCAGTGGCCAAAGTCCGTCAACATTGTTCACAACATTGCGAACTGGAGCAATGGTTGAGATTTGAGTGGTCGTCTCTTCGGAATCTTCTGAAATTTGAATTTAGCCATTAGAAATTTAGCCATAGCCTAGTGTGCGTTCCAGAATGAAAAAATATTTTATCAAAACTGGCGATAGCACTAGAATACGGTAAAAAAAGCAAGGAAAAGCTTTTCTGAAAAACACCTCTCTCCAGAAATTTCCAATTTCGAATCTAACACAAAAATCGGCTATAGTGCGTTCCAGATTAGAGCTTTTGTGAAAAAAAAACCATTCTAGACCAACCCTCTTCAGCTGTAGAGGCTCCAGTAGTAATCTGGATGCCGCCCGGGCCAGCCTCGGGTCCATTCTCTTGAGTCATCGTTTCAAAGCCGGCACCGAGGTTCTAGAAATATTGTGCTTATTGTGCTTTTTGTGTCAATTCTGTTATTTAGAAAGGATACGGTAGATTAGACAGTCGGGAGTACGGTAGATTACTGGCTAGACAGGGTACTACGTTCTATCACTAGTAATCAAAATTCTGATTCTGAATTGTGTTGTGCACTCCAGCTTGCACAATTCAAAAATCTTGAGCGCTCTAGTTGGATTTAAACTTATTTTTTCAATGCGAAAGGGATCAGCTGAAAAAGTGATGGAACGAGGGTTACTGTAATTGAGTCAACTTTTAGCGCTAAAGACGTTGTGCGCTCCAGCTTGAACAATTCAAAAATCCTAAGCGCTCTAGTTGAATTTAAACCTATTTTTTCAATGCGAAAGGGATCAGCTGAAAAAGTGAGGGAACGAGGGTTACTGTAACTGAGGCAATTTTTAGCGCTAAAGACGTTGTGCGCTCCAGCTTGCACAATTCAAAAATCTTAAATGCTCTAGTTGAATTTGAACCAGTTTTTTCAATGCGAAAGGGATCAGCGGAAAAAGTGATTGAAAGAAATTACTGTAATTGAGGCAATTTTTAGCGCTAAAGACGTTGTGCGTTCCAGTTTGCGCCATTCAAAAATCTTGAGCGCTCTAGTTGGATTTAAACCTATTCTTTCAATGCGAAAGGGATCAGCTGAAAAGTGATGGAACGAGGGGTTACTGTAACTGAGCCAGCTTTTTAGTGCTAAGGACGTCGTGCGTTTCAGTTTGCGCAATTCAAAAATCCTAAGCGCTCTAGTTGAATTTAAACCTATTTTTTCAATGTGAAAGGGATCAGCGGAAAAAGTGATTGAACGAAAGTTACTGTAACTGAGCCAACTTTTAGCGCCAAGAACCTTGTGCCTTCCAGATAAACTAATTCCAGAAGCCTGGCCTTTGTTCTTTTGTTCTTACCTCTTCTTCCTCAGCCGTTTCCCCGCCTTCCTCTCCGCCCTCGGAGACCTCGAATGGAGTCGGGGTGGGGAATCGCGTCGATTCATTCTCGCCTCCATTCACGACAACTGGAGCTGATGGGAACGGCCGGAAGCCGAGATTCGGCGAAACTGGAAGACAGTAAGGATTTTTAGAAAGAGAATTCAATCATTTTTCAACTTTTAGAGCTTCCGTATTTTGTCGAGTGCCTACGCGATGTGATTTTTCGAAAACTAGCTGAATTTCGACCAGTTTTTGATTGTTTTTGGACGATCTGGAAGTCACATGACAACCCTGGATCAAATTGGAGCCCGAGACTCAAAAACAGAGTACCGGGGTACTGTAGCGTGCCTACGCGATGTGATTTTTCAAAAACTAGCTGGATTTCGACCAGTTTTTGATTGTTTTTGGACGATCTGGAAGTCACATGACAACCCTGGACCAAATTGGAGTCTGAGACTCAAAAATAGAGCACCGGGGTACTGTAGCGTGCCTATGCGATGTGATTTTTCGAAAACTAGCTGAATTTCGACCAGTTTTTGATTGTTTTTGGACGATCTGGAAGTCACATGACAACTCTGGACCAAATTGGAGCCTGAGACTCAAAAAATAGAGCACCGGGGTACTGTAGCCTGGCCAAGTACAGTACCCCAACACTACAAAAGTCATTAATCTGGTCAACATTTTGCTTCGTTCTATGCTGTGCCTACCAGTTTGCACGTGTGTCGTTGTTTCGTCGCTCTCCTCTTCTTCCTCGCTCGGCTCAGGGCTTGATGGGGTGACCTGGGTGAAAAAAGAGCGATACATCGAGAATTGAGATTTCAAACCTGTTGCCTAGGCAAAACTGTTGCCAGTTGCGGTCCATTCGGGTTGAAGGGCAAGAAGTTCATCTAAAAGATATGCAAATTTGCAAATTCACCGATTTTCAGTCTAATCCGACTCCGTAATTTGGAATGTCTCGTACTCAAATGCAAATTTTTAAATCATTTTTTCTAATTTTTTTGAAAAATTCAAAAGTGTGCCTTCCAGGATTTCCAAAAATCGTTTACTTTTTTTGAATTTTCATTTTTTAAACTCAAAAAATTGCAAGCTACTTTCATGCGAGAAAAGATTGGGTGAATTTCTCGTTCAATAGATGGGTTTGGACTAAAGAAAAGAAAAGAAATCGACCTGCTGGGATGCATTTTGATTGCTGACAGTGTTGGTGGGGGTGATCGACGTCGTCGTTGTGGTCGTTGTGGTCGTTGTGGTGGGCGCGGTGATGATGCGCGGGTGCGCGGTGGCGGTGACGACGTTGTGCGCGCCCAGCGGCACGATCGGAACTTTAACGGTGCTCGTTGTTGTGCCCAGCGTCGTCGTCCGCGTTTCCTGAGATGCCTAGAGTTTTTGGGCGAGCTTAGTCATGCATTTCGTTTGAAATTTTTTGAAATTTCATTCACTTCGTAATTTCTCTGAAATTTTGCAGAAAACTTTCATTTTAAAGTTTTTTTTTCTCGAATCTGGAACGCAGGAAAGGTTTTGAAAAAGAAAAAAAACTCAAAATTACTGATTTAAAATTTTTGAATTTTTAAAAAATCATGCTAACGAAAAAATTTGCATGCAAATTTTGGGTGGATTTAAATTTGAGATAAATGTCTGGATTTCGACTCTACCGTAATCTAAAGGCTAACCTGTGATCCAAAAGAGCTTTCCACACCGCCAACACCGGCATTTGGTTGCAGCGTTGAGGAAAGGACGAGCGTCAAGCAGTCCATCCATTCTGAAAACTCCATCATTCTATTTTCATTTCAAAAATGGTTTATTTTCAAAACATGACATCCATAACTGACAAAAATCTGATTTTTAATGAATTTTGAATCTTTTGGACGATTTTAAGCTCGCAAAGTCTCACGCTTAAAATGATTTTTTTCCAAAAGCTTTTCGCTCAATTTTTTCGCAAAATTTCCAAAGTGTGCGTTCCAGGATTTGCGAAAAAAAAGTTTTCAAGAGATTTCCTGAACTTACGGCCAGTTTGCGGGTGGGGACAGTGACAATCGTAGGAGGCGTTGACGACTTTCGGGGTGACCGTCGTGTACGACGCCGAATCGAGCGTGCATTTCGCGTTCTCACCAAAAACGGCGCAAGCTGCGTCACTGGAAGCTCGGGAATGGAATGTAGTTTTTTTTTGACACAAACCCAATGCACACATCGATCACATTGCAGTTGGGACCGATGAAGCCTTGTTGGCACTGAAATTGGTTCCTTTGAGCCGAGGAAATCGATTTGGACTCCAAAATGACCTCCAGCTTTTCGGAATCAGAAAAGATTTTGGTCCCTTGATGGGCAAAATTTCGGTTTAGTTACCCAATCTTTTTTTCGCACTTTGACAAAATTATATAGAAGGCGTAGGCAGAAACTGATGCTACAGTGCTTCCTAGTGCCATCCAGGATTTACGATTTCTTTTGGGTTTTTTGAATTGGAGCGATATTTTTCGAGATTTGGCTTGGATTTACTTGGCTATCACTTACTTGACACATTGGGGCTCCGTCGACGAGCGTGCACTCGCCCTGGGCGCAAGACGGTTCGCAGATGATCTGGAAATTGAGCTTTAAGAGATTCTGAATTGTTTTTGGTGTACCTAAAATCTTATTTGGTAGGCTAATTTCCGGAATTTTTGCAATCCCGCAATTTCCGCAACAGGGTCATTTCCGCAATTTGCCATAACTTTCTTCTAAGTCGACCAATCTTTATGATTTTGGTGTCATTTTGTTGCATTTCTTGAGATCTACAAAATGACACAAAGAGCATAAAGATTGGATGATTTAGAAGGAAGTTATGGATCAAAAGAGTCGAAAGGAAGATGGTCATGAACTAGATGAGTCATAACTTTCTTCTACGTCATCCAATCTTTCTGCTCTTTGTGTCGTTTTGTAGATCTCAAGAAATGCAACAAAATGACATAAAGAGCAGAAAGATTGGATGATGTAGAAGAAAGTTATGACTTATCTAGTTCATGACCATCTTCCTTTCGACTCTTTTGATCCACTGCTGCTTCCTGCTTCCTGCTTCCTGCTTCCTGCTTCCTGCTTCTTTAGATGCTTAGCTTAGATGCCTCCACTGCTTTCAATCAGCTGCTATTCGAATTAGTCATTAAAACAGTTTTGAAAGTTGAATTCCCGCCTTGTGTTTTGCTTTTTTTTGTTTCTTATTGATGCTAACCTTTTCTTTTTAGTTACAACGATTTTCAATATGGAAAACCGAATCCTTTCAAGGATGCGTCGTTCTCAGGGCTCATTCGGTGGTCTGTGTCGTGGCCCAAGTCTCTGTCCCGTAGCAGAGTGCCGGGAGGACGGTGCTGTCAAACAGGTGTGTCGAAGAGGTGTGCCCGAGTCCTCTGATGATTCTTGAGTATCTTTGTGACTTCTTTGATGCTTCCTAGTGCTGTCCAGGTCGCTCGTATTCTTCTAGCGATTTCTGGTCTTAAGTCTCCCTCCATATTGATGCTTCCGAGGTAGGTGTAGGAGGTGACTTCTTGGGCCTCTTGTCTCGTGTCTTGGGTCTCGTGGTAGCCACTCTCTGATCCGTATCGTCCATCTGTCTTCTAGTGGTTGATTCAGGGAAAATTCATTCATTCAAATTCATCATATGGAAAACCGAAGAATTCAATCGCTCTTGCGCAATAAGAAAACGATTTTTCAAAAAAGACGAGCGAGCTTTCATTTGTGACTTCTATTTGAGACGAACCTGTTCGCAGAGAATCCCCCTCGTGTGTGGTGAGCATTCGCAAACGGCCGTGCTCCCATTCGCCTTACATTTCCCGCCATTCGAGCACGGCACCGAGGCGCAAATGTCGAGTTGACAGCGCGAGCCGGAGAAACCGTTTTGGCATAAACAAGTTGCCTGAAAAAGCGAAATTTCTGAAGTCAGTCTAAAGCCATTTCTAACGTCAGTCTAAGCTCAGTCTAGAGTCAGTCTAGAGTCAGTCTAGAGTCAGTCTAGAGTCAGTCTCAGTCCTCCCAACCTGTCCATCCGATCCGACAACGCACGTCCCATTGTTTAAACAGTCCACGTTGGCACACGGGCTCACCGCGAAATCTGGTGTGCCTGTGGGCGTCCTTGTGCCTTGACTAGGCGACACTCCGGGTGGAGCTGGGCCCTAAAAAATGAGTTTTAGCAATTATTGGTCGATTTTTTTCTTTTCGAAAACTAAATCCTGGATGTCATGCTAGAGTTCTACGCTTTTAAAACTTTAAACTAACAAAATTTTGACTCTAGCTCTAGAATTTAGCTCTAGACCCTGGAGAATGGGTTTCGTCAAAAGATCAGTTAGTTTTAGTTTTTCTAAAAGGCATCCTGGATGTCATACTGTAGTTCTGAAAGGTTAAAAATTGAAATAAAAAGATTTGAAATTTTTGGAATTTTTGGAATTGAAGATAGATTTTTTACCCCTTGCAAGTCGAAGATCGGAAAAGCTGGGTCAGCAGCGCCGCCGTTTTCGCTTTCGCCTGGAAATTCAATTTGATTTTATTGCCATTATAAAGTTTGATATGCACGGCAAAAGTGAATGCAACTAAACGGCTAAACGGCTGAACTAAAAAAAAGCTGATCTCTTTGCAGAACTGAAGTCACCGAATCGCTTTCGTGTGTGCCAGGATGAGAAGTTTCGGCTATTAGGGAAATCGGTTATCGGTTTTTGGGTTATCGGTTTATTTCGGTGCACCAGTGTTGAGCGTCATCAGTTGACGTCATCAGTCGAGCCTGTTGACGCCGATTTGTCGGCTCAGAAATGAGAAATCCAGCTCAAATGGATAAATTTGTCAACGATGGATGGCACAACAAGTTTTCCGATGGTTAGTTCGTGTTCAACGACAAAATTGGAGCAGGTGGTTTTTCTTAGTTTTAGGACTGGTTAATTTTCTCGCGAAAACAAAAAACAACTTAGAGAGTTTTGGTTAAATTTGTGAATGCTGGATGGCACAACAAGTTTTCCGGTGGTTAGTTCCTGTTCAACGACCAAATTGGAGCAGGTGGTTTTTCCTAGTTTTAGGACTGGTTAATTTTCTCGCGAAAACGAAAATCAACTTAGAGTGTTTTGGTTAAATTTGTGAATGCTGGAGCACACGACACTCGTTTTCGTGATTCGTTTTTGTTTCACCTCTCGTTTTTAGCTGAAAGAGTGGGAAGACCGGAGCCGCCGAGGCAGAAGTCGAGTTTGAGTCGTTCAGACGGTCTGAACCCGAGTGGGAAAGTAAATTGCGGAAAATCCCCGGTGACATCCAGCATTTTGGATACAGTGAAAAATTTGCAAAAAAAGAATGTGGCGAAACGAAAAATTTAAGCGCTGAAATTTTCTCGGAATCCGGGATTTTTTTTCGGAAAAATTCTAAGAGTGTTATTGATCATTTTGCCCAAAAAAAACCTTTTTCCGAAATTTACCTGTCGACTCGGCCACGTAAGGGCATCCGCAAGTGAGGCCGGCCGAGGTGAAAGCGTTTCTCCGCAAATGCGGCGGGCAACCGATCGGTTTCTCGTTTTTGCACCGTCATCTCGCGAAGACACCGGGGTCCTCGATCTGGATTTTTCTTATGTAAATGCCATTCTGGACTGCACTACGCATTTTGGTAAAGTGAAATTTCGAGATTTGCAAAATTTGCTAATTTGTTGGATTTGGCCTGTTTAGGACTGGTTGAATATTTAGCTGATGATTCATTGCTTTGAAGAAATTTGCATTTAAAACTCAATCCTGGAGCGCACTACGCATTTTGGTAAAGTGAAATTTCGACATTTGCCAAATTTGAGATATTCGAACTGGTCCTGTTTAGGACTGGCTGAATATTTAGCTGATGATTCATTGCTTTGAAGAAATTTGCATTTAAAACTCAATCCTGGCACGCACTCGACTGTATTCGGACGGAAAATGTCCTCGGATGCGTGGAGAGGGGAAAGCGAACTTTGGACGAGCTCGAGTCGGAGACGTTGCAAGTGAGCGAGTCGGTGGTTAACGTCCAAACGAAATGCTCCCACTCGTCTTCTGGAATTGAAATTTTGAGAAATTAGTGCATTCTGGATGTCAGCACACGTCTAAGAACAAAAATTTTCTCAAAATGATAAATTTAATCCAAGTTGGTTTTTGAATTTCAAGGACTGGCTCATATTCGCAGAATTGTGATCAAGAACTGGCCGATTTAAGACCGAATTTCGGCTAGCTGGATAGCACAAGGGTGTTTAGTTAAGTCGTGTACACTCCTGTGGCAAATGTGAGTTACCAATTTGAGGACTGGGGCTACCAGTTTCAGGACTGGCTAAAATTCTTGCGCTAAGTGTTCTTATTGAGAAATCTAGCGCCAGTTTCTTGTTATCTGGATGGCACAAGGGTGTTTAGTTAAGTCGTGTACACTCCTGTGTCAAATGGCAAAATGTGAGTTTTCAGTTTCAGGACTGGCTAAAATTCGCAGAATTGTGATCAAGAACTGGACGATTTTAGACCGAATTTCGGTTAGCTGGATAGCACAAGGGTGTTTAGTTAAGTAGCGTACACTCCTGTGTTAAATGGCAAAATGTGAGTTTCTAGTTTCAGGACTGGCTAAAATTCTTGCGCTAAGTGCCTTCATTGAGAAATCTAGCGCCATTTTCTTGTTATCTGGATAGCAAAAAGAGATTCGGTTATGATTTCAAGACTCCACTGTCAGCATCCATCACTGAGCACTCTCCGAGCGGGGTACCAGTGCTGCTATCCACGACTGTCATCAGTACCGTAGCCGGCGAGGCCTCGCTGCTGAAAAAAAATTGATTTGATTTTGATATAAATTCATATGCAAATCAATTTTCATATGTAAATCGAGAGAAAAGTTTAAGAAAAAAGCTTAAAATGGGATTTTTTCGTCTTTTTTTGAGTTCTAGCGTTTAATTTTTTTCTAGGTTTTTTCTAGAGTTTTCTCGTTACCAGATTTCAATCTGGAACTCACTTTGGTTATTAAAATATTTTTATCAACATTCTGAATGTTTTGTGCTTTTTAGTTTTTGAGTTCCAGGTCTCCGAGAATCGGACTCCATTAGTGAGAAATGAAGCGAATGAATGGATTGAAAGAAATCGGAAACGGTCATCCCAAAGAAAAGCAATCAGTTGACCGAATCACGAACCCCTCGCGGAAAAGGGAGGGTGACCACCGCGAGAAGAGGACTGGGTCCTTTCCTCTCCTGTCCGCCACCTATTTGCCTTTCAATGGTGTTGGAGACTGCTTCCTGGAGCGCACTGCGAGTGTTCTCACTCTCTCTTGGCCTTTCGGCCCAATCACTCTTTGGGTGCTAATGGGCTATCACAGCCGGTTCCAGGGTCACCGTCTTCTCAAACTTTAGCCCCCTAGGACCCTGAAACTTCCCGGCTGGCTCAAGTGACCTCCAGGATCAATGAAAATCGACTCAAATCGAATTCCTTGAAGAGTTAAAAGCTAGGAAAAATGAGTTGATAAAGAGAGATGCGCTTGAAATGGCGATTTCGGCTTAAACGCGTGTCTCATTGTGGCAAATGCGTTCCAGTTTGAAGATTGAAAAAAATTATTTACCTCAAATATTCAAAGGATCCAATCCAGGGCAGGCTCTCTCCTTCAACGACCCCGGCGCGTCCAGTGGGTCCACTCGCGAAATGGTAGGTGCCCTCGTCGTCGTTTTGTTGAGCCCAAGCAAGGTTTGCTGGAAATCGAACGAATGGAAATAGATATGGCAAGCAAAAAAGCTTCGAGAAGCCTAGGTTCTCTTGGTACGCAGCTGTACACCCTCGCTGTGCAACCCTAGCGTAACTTAGCGTAGCCTACTGTACCCTACCGTACCCCTAGCGTAGCCTAGCGTAGCCTACCGTAGCCTAGCGTAGCCTGAGTAGCCTAGTCCAGCCTTCTGCGCAGCCTACTGTAGCCTATCATCAGCCTAGTAGCCTACCGTAACCCTGGTGTGGCCTAGCGCTACCGTGTGGCCAGCCTGCCAGCCTTCTATCATGGCTAGCAAAGCCTACCGTAGCCTACGCGGCTATCATCTACCAGTAGCCTACCGTAGCCCTACCGTCCTCAAATTCGTTAGTAAAAGCTTTTGTCTATCCTGGAAGTCCGAGGGTGATTCTTAGAGAATGAAGTCCAAATTTGCATTTAAAGGCTTAATGGAATTTAGCGATTTTGCATTTAATTAGCATTTAATTAGCATTTAATTTACATTTAAATTTACATTTAAATTTACATTTAAGCTTGCATTTAATTGCCGTTAATTTGCATTTAAATTTGCGCTTTATTTGCATTTGTTGGATTTAATTTGCATTTAAGTGTATTTAAATTTACATTTAAATTTGCATTTAATTTGCCCTTAATTTAATTTAAAGCTTGTTAAATGCGTGCATTATTTAAATGCACAAGAGTGAGTGCAAACAATTACAGCTGCTTTTGAACTTTTTGAGCTTCTTGAGCTTTTAGAAGCTCACAGAGACTCGCCAGGAGTACGGTAAATTGTCCGATCCACAAAAACTCCGCGCGCGCCAGCGTGACCACGACGGCCGGCTGGTGCCTCTTCAAAGCTATCTGTGTGAGGTGCCGCATTTTGCCGGCTTTCTCGTCTTTTCCTTGTCCAGCCAGCCCTAGGGGCTTCGTCGGATGAAATTATGGAATGCACGGGAAATCGGAATAAGCTCGACGAATAGCGCAAAAATTTGGTCACGTTTCTTGGAGTTTCTTTGTAGGCTGAAATTTGCTTAGATTAGAAATAGAGAATTTGAATTCGAAAATGCGCCAATAGCTAGTGTGAGAGGTTCCAGGAAAAGGAGTCACAAAGAGAAAAAATTTAGAGTTTCAAGAAAAATTCGAGGATTTTGATGCCAACTGGATTTTGACCTTTATTGGATCGATGAGGGTTCTCGAAAAAGGGCAAAAAATTGGGAAAGGGTGGAAATGAAAAAGAAGGAAGGAAACTACAGAGCTACAAGAGCTTGTGAAGACATCTATCCAAGAAAAAGGGTGGGAAGGAAGGAGAGTTCAAGTGCCCGAACATTGAGAACAGTGAGAGGGCTGGTTGTGTTTCGAACGATCTCTGCCCCGAAGATGAAGCTGGGGAGTGGAAATTGCAGTCTGGAAGGCACTAAGGGGATACAAGGTGGAAAATTTGGAAATAGAAGTTGAGGCAAAAGTCATTTTCTACCGTAACCCAAAAAATTAAAGGGCACATCTTATAGGCACGGAACTATTGGAAAAGTCGTTGTGCGCTCCAGAATGATGGATAAAGTCTCAGAAAATGAATTTAAACAAAATTGTGGAGAAAAATTGACCAAAGATAGAGAAATCGTGAAGTAAAACCGAGTTTTAAGAAGAAAGAAACTGCTTTAGAAAGATAAAAAAACATTCGTTTACGGAGCAATTGGCAATTGGCAAGTGGCTAAATCAAAGAAATAAAAGGCTGGTGAAGCTATAGAAAAGGATTAAATCAACTATATATAAAGAGCGATGTCTGTCTGTTTTTTTTGTTTGTCTGTCTGCCCGCAAATGTTTCTCGAGCTCCAATAAAAATAAAACTTCCATAGAAAACCTTAGAATACATTGAAGTTATAGCATTTAAATAAAAAGTCAAAATTCAAACTCGTAACCGCACCAGAAGTCGAACCCGGACCGTGTGGGCTGGAGGTCATCGCCCCGCGCGAGCGCTGCGCCATAGGGCCCGAAACGTCTCGGAAAAACCGCCCTTAACCCGCTCTTAACCGAGTTTTTCAGCTGATCAGTAAGAAATAAGAGCCGACAACAGATTAACAGCAACTTTTTTTGTTTTGGTGACCATTGTCATCGTGGCGCAGTCGGCGCATTCTCGATTACCGCAACCCACACGGTCGGGTTCGACCTCCCACTTCGCACCGACACTCAATTTTTGTTTTAGTTTTTATTATAAAAACCATAATCATAAAATTGGTGTTGGCGTACTGAGAAGACGAACAACGAACTGCGAATCCGCGCCTGCCGTTTGCGCCACGACCTGGCTGAAAATCTCCGGCTGAAAAACCGGCAGTTGGCGAGTTTTAGTTGTTTTGGCCGGTTTTTCAGCTCTTTTGGATATCCAAGAGTCGCATTAAAGTCAAAGATGAATCTCTCGAGATTGGTGGAGTATTTAGATCAAAATTGATGATATTAGCACGTCATTTTCTTGGTTTTAAGACAGCTCAGGTACAGAGCTATTCCTAGATTCAATTTTTCGGCCAAATCCAGAAGCCAAATTCAAGTAAATCCAAACTAAATGTTAGCTTTTAGCTGGCTAACACTTGGCTGGCTAGCTCAGCCTTTTAGCTGGCTAGCTTCCTAGCCAGCTTAGCTTTAAGCAGCTTTGTCCAGCATAGCTTTTTGATCCTTCTAAATGTAAATTCTAGTCTTCTAGAGGCCCTAGGTCTTCTAAGTCTTCTAGAGGTCTTCTGGGGGCCCTGGGTCTTCTTAGGGAGGCTCTGGGTCTTCGAACTTAGGGCTCTAGGTCTTCTAAGGAGGCTCTGGGTCTCCTGGCTTAGGACCCACTAGATCTTCTAGAGGCTCTAGATCTTCTAGAGGGCTCTAGATCTTCTAGAGGAGCTCTAGATCTTCTAGGGTCTTCTAAGAGGGTCTTCTAGAGGAAACTCTAGGTCTTCTAGATCCCCCCTCAGCTTTCCCCGGTGCGGAAGTGAAGACTCTTTGTGGATTTTGAGAAAGAAAGATTTAACAAACAGAAGAGAACAGATCCGATTCTTGAAAAGATCCCTCCCTTCATTCAGCTTCAGCAAGGATGACTGGACAAGACTGGGGAATTACATTGATGTAATTTTTATCAAGCCTAAAGAGATGACCGTTCCTACCGTAACCCGTCTATTCTAAAGCCATTAAAGTCATTTTTATCTATTAGAATGATGTAGTGCGTTCAAGATCAGCCAAGAATTTTTAGAATTTACATTCTGCATTATAAAAAAAAATTTGCATTGAGTTTCAGGGAAAGTAAAACAGCTAAAATCATTTTGCAGATTTTTATTAATCAAAGCGAGTCGTGCACTCAGATTGGACTCTGAAGAGACTCTTAGAAGCAAGGAAATTTTTGTTTAGAATTTCTTCAAAAACCTCCCCAGCCGTTTTCCCTGGTAAAGGAAACGATTATTACCGAAGAAAAACGATAGAAAAAGAGTTTTGATCGAATCGGCACTGGAACGCGCACGGGAGAAAGAATGCGGGGAAATGGTGCCGATTGCAAAAAAAAAAAAAAAAAA